TTGCCACAATTTTTGACTCTTTCTATTTAATTATGCATTTCTTAAATAGATAAATTTCACTTAAATTAAAATATTGACTTTGAACGTACACAAATAAAACATAAATTACCTAATATATGGTAATAATAAAAAATATGGATATATATATATTAATTTATTTTTTGTAATTAATATTGTCTCAATATATATTTCTAAATATTATATTCTGTATTTATTTTTATTTAAATTTTATATTAACATTAATTCAAAACATTGCACTAAGTATACGTTTTAAATTTAAAATTTAATTTTTAAAATTTATTTATAATTTAATTTATTTCCATTTTTAAAAACATCAACATATAAAAAATTGTACTCCGTCCGTTCCATATACCGTGTCTGCTGCACTGTAGATACGGTATTTTAGGAGGGGTGTATTTAGTAGATAATTAAGAATGTATTAGTGAAAATAATTATCCTATAATATAAATAATTATAAATTAAGATTAAGATAACTAATTAGTTTAATTAAAATTAAAAAAAAATTAAAATGAGATTAAAATATGTAATTATTTTTAAAAAAAGAAAAGTGACATGGAATGTGGAACGGATAGAAACGACAAGGTGGACATAGTATGTGAGACGTAGGGAGTAGTATTCTTTTGTCCCATAAAAGTACTAGAGATGGACATTTTAGAGTATCATAAAATATCAATGCTATATAAATTATAATAATTTTGAAAGAATGATTAAAAAAAAAATAGTAACAATTTTGTAATATTAATATTAGAGAGAAAGAAAATATTTTTTTTGTGTTTGATTATCACCTTTTTACACTATTACTAATATATAATATTTATATTATTATTTTTATAAAATTAATAATTTAATATAAAATATTTATTTTATTTTATCGATACAAATCTACATACTTCGTACATACAATGATACAAAAAAGAAAAATCTTAAACTAAACAACTAAAGATATAAACTCTTTGTGTAAATTATTTACCTACCAATTTTTTTTTTATATAGGAAATATACATTAATACTATTTTCCCGCCAACATGAAAATAAAAAATAAAATTAAATGTACGTGAAGGAGACTCTAAGGGTGTGTTTGTTTGTGAGTTTGGATTTTTAAATAGTAAAAAATTGAATTTAATAATTGTTTGATGCTGTACAAGTAGAGATTGATATAATATTTTGAATATAAATAAATTTATAATATAATATTATATAAAAAAATAAAAAATAATTATTTGATGTAATATTTTATGAGGAAAAAAAAATTTATAAAACCAAAAAAAAAACACAACCTAATAATTTAGAGTGTTTGTGGAAGAAATTGACCAACGGAAATTACACCACAAATTTCAAACCATATTTTAATTACATCACTTGCACTACGTAAACATTTTGTATGTAATTTATCAACTTTAAGAAATTCACCAAGAATTTCATCATCTTCACAATCCATGTTGCCCAATTAATAATAATAATAATAATAATAATAATAATAATAATAATATATTTATGTTAATATAATATAAATATATAATAAAAATTATCAATACGCAAATATGATAAATAATAATCTATACAATATATATGTCATCCGGGACGAAACTACACTAGGATTTGGGGGTCAATTGACCCCAAGCCAAATTTTTTAATTGACCCCAAGCCAAATTTTTTTAATTTTTTTAGTATTAAAAATATTAATTTTATGTATTTATATACAATTTGTCCCTTCAAAACTATATAAATTCATATATAATTTTGTCATTATTATTTATTTAAATTTATTAACTAAATATTAAATAAATTATAAAATTTTGTCCCTGGAATGGCTAATTTTTAAACTTACAAAATGGTACAATATATTTATACACATAAAAAAAAAAAAAAAAACATATGTATGTTTTTTCGATAATTTTCTCTTTCAAATTGTTATATTTATAAATATTACAAAATAGCGAGTAAGAGTATCATTAATAACTCTATATTATAAATATTATGTTTGTGTTTTTAAAAATAGATAAATAACAATATTTCATTAAAGAAAATAAATTTCTGGCAGATACAGCGTTGAATAACACATTGTGTGTTATTAGACAACACATAATATTACTATAAACAACATAGTGTATATGTTAATATAATACAAATACAACACATTAATAAAACATACATACTATAGCCTAAAATATATAAAATATTACTACAATATTAGTACAGACAATAAATGCATACAATAAATTGACAACATATATAGCAATACTTTATTAATTTAATTATAATAATGTGCTAAAAACAAAATTTGGTATTATATAAATATTTATATTTTCTAATTCCATCAAATTCCATATAATTTATAATTTTTAAAAAATATAATTATACACTTTAATTACATATTAAAATTTATATATATTTTTTAATTTTAATTAAAATGTTTAGTTATTTTAATTTTAATTTATAATTATTTTTACTAATATATATTTTTTAATAATTTACTAATTATAATTTTTCTAAATTTATAAATTTACAGTAAAATAAACAATTTATATGAAGCGATGGAATAGTTCTCATAGCTAATTTAATTTATTTTTTTTTATAAAAAAAAAACATGAAACAAGAATTAAGGGCTAAGGTATGTAATAACAGCGAGTTCCTCTGTATCTATCTATATATATAAATGCCTACATGTCTGAATTTTTATTCTATCTTCTATTCTTCTCTGTTTCTTTTATCTCTGCAATTAATTCAAGTCTGTCTTTATTTATTTATTTTTATTTTTATTTTTATTATTATTTTTTAAAAATTAAAAAATAGGCATGAAGAAGGTGCTTCTATCATCAGCAAAGATAGTTTCAATTTTGGCCATAATCAAAGGAGGAGATGCTGCCCTCTCCATTCTCTTCCAATTCTTGATTTCCATTAAGCCTTTATTTTCTTCTTCATTCTACATTTCCCTCATCATCAACGCCATGGTTATCTTGATCATCCTGATCTCCTCAATTCCGCCGCTTCCCGCCGCCGCCGTCGCCAATTCCGACCCGCCGGAGCTAATTTGTCGCAAAATTACCGATCACGGCCGAGACGACAACGGCGGCGAAGAAAACGACGGTTTAGAAGAAGTCGAGAAAAGGGTTGTCGAGGATTTTCGAGCGGCGGAAGATCCCGACAGCGGCGGGGAAACGATGGATTCGACGTGGAGGATGATCACCTGCGGGGAAAGGAAGAAGGAGTTGAAGAAGAGCGGGACGTGGCCGGCGATGAGGAAATCGGAGACGTTCGACGATACGGTGTCGATCGCGCGGCGGCGGCGGGAGGCGGTGAGGGTGGAGGAGTTCAACAAGGAGGTGGAGGCGTTCATCAAGAAATTCAATATGGACATGAGGATGCAGAGGCAAGAATCTGAGGAACAGAGGAATCTCACTATGTAATATGTAATGAGCTCACCTTTTTTTTATCGATCTTGTGTTTGTCTCTCAAAATAATAATAACTTTTCGAGTTCCAGGTAAATCTCTATCCAAAAAATAAAGGGTGTGTTTTTTTAGGGAAGGTTTTGGCGAAATTTGGAGTTGTATTTGATTTTTATTTAAATTTTGAGGTGAGTTTGAATTTACGATGTTTCTTTTGTTTTTAGATTTGGATTGGATTTCAAAAATTTTGATGTGTATTGATGGTAATAAATATAATAATATAAATATGTATGAATTTATATAATTTGATTATAAATTTATATTATACCTATATATATTTCTAAATTTTTATTTATTTATATTATAGAAAATTTTATTTTATATATATTGTATATATTTTATTAAATTATTATTAATATATATTTTTTTATATTTATAATTTTTTTAAAAAAAAAAAAAACAGAGGCGACTAGAAACACACTCAAACTCTATTTCTCAATCCCTACACACATAATATGCCATAGTATATATACAGACTGTGTGTAGAAATAGATAAATATGATGTGTTAATAGGACAAATGATCCGATCTGAATAGAACCCACCGGATCCTCTATTGCAAAAGTAAACTCTATTTCTTTATTTCCATACACATAATATGCTATACATACAAACATGTGTATTTATAGCATATATATATAAATATGTATATATAAACACTATTTGTGTGGGGATAATGAGATAGGATGTATTAATGGAACAAATGATCCGATCTATTAATAGAAATATATTTTGGTAGTTAGTTAAATAAATTAAAATAGTAAAATTAAAAATTTACTCCAAAATGAAAGGAGTATTATTTTTTAATATGTTATAAAAAAAAAAAATACTCTATCCGTCTCAATACAATAATATTATTTATTATTTTTATTCGTCTTAAAACAATAGTCTTATTTTCATAAATAACAATGTCATATAAAAGACTCCGTCTCAATACAATAATATTATTTATTATTTTTATTCGTCTTAAAACAATAGTCTTATTTTCATAAATAACAATGTCATATAAAAGACATTTACTTTTTCATTATTATTATACAATTGTCATTATTTTTTACATTAATACATTTATAAAGACAAAAAAATCTTTTACTGATATTTTTTACGGACTACCAAATGATGTTAATATTACTTAAATCTCGTGTTGAAGTCAAACTATACTTTTCGAATGGAATGAGATTATTAATAAATAATGATAAAATATGAACTTTAAGAGTCTCTTTTATCTTTTTTATCATTATATTCAATATTAAAAATATTTTTATATATAATTTTTTGCTTTAACGATATTATATATAATAGTATTATAAAATATTAGTAAAAATATTATTGCTATTTTTTTTTTAATTTATACTAAAATTTTATGTAATAATTAATATTTAAATATAGTTAAAAAATCTTACCGATTTCCGGCTCTAGGTCATGTCCCATGAACCTTGCATTATTGACTTTATTGATACAGTACTTACTCCATTAATCACGTGGATTTACCTACTGCATTCTTGCTGTCGTTTTCATAAAAACATACCATCAAATCATTTGTTCGTCCTTACCGAAGAAAAGTGAGAAGAGTACAACAGTCGTGATCAGCCATGGCTTACAATCTCGAGACCTTAATCCAAACTGTGGAACCCATCCTCAACCCCCATCCTCACCACCCATGGCTACTTCGTCCCGTTCACAGACCCCAACTCCAATCCCTAATCGATAAGGCCCGTAGCTTAGCTCAACTTTTCGAGAATTGCTTACCCACCATGGCCATGGACGCAAGAGTTGCAGATCTCGAAGCTCGAATCAGAGATGCAGTCTACGAAGCCGAAGATGCAATCGAATTTCACTTCGTCGATCAATTACGTGCTAGCAGACTACGCCAGAGGTTCGAGATCTCCCTCCCCAATCTGCAAAACATAATTAGGGATTTCGATTTGGTTAGAGAGGAAATAATGAAATTGATCGATGGAAGTCAGAAGATGAACAAGAACAACCCTAGTCCATCATCATCATCAGTTCCTGCCTCGCCTGCAAATCCTGAGAACACCATCGAGGGCTTAAGCAACGAACTGATTAAACTGAAGGAAAAGCTCACCGGACATGAAAAGAAGCTCGAGATCATCCCAATCGTAGGTATGGGCGGCATTGGTAAGACTACTCTTGCTAGGAATTTATACGATGATCCTTTAATTGTTTCTCACTTCGATAAATCTGCTTGGGCTACAGTATCTCAGGATTATGATCTGAATAAACTTCTGTTAGATCTTCTGCAGAGTGCTACAGGAGATTTATCTAATGAAATTTGTAGGGAAGGAATTCATAAACTTATTTTGCGATTATATCAAATGTTGTATGGCCGTAGATACCTAATTGTGCTCGATGATATATGGAGTTCGAAAGCTTGGGACGACTTGAAAACTTGTTTCCCGGACAACGGGCAAGGAAGTCGAGTTGTAGTGACAACGAGGGAGCTTAGTTTAGCCAATTATGTAGCTTCAGAAATCTTGCATTGTCGTATGAATTTACTCGACGATGATCAAAGTTGGAACCTTCTTCGTAGAAAGGTGTTTAGAGAAGAAAATTGTCCGACAGAATTAGAAATCGTCGGGAAAAAAATTGCAGGGGATTGTTCGGGGCTGCCCCTTGCGATTCATGCGGTCGGGGGAGTTCTTGTGCGCTTAGATAGGTGTCGAGAATCTTGGGAAAGTGTTGCGGATGATGTAAGATTAGTTGTGGCTAATGAAAACGAGCATTTCTCGAGTATTCTGTCGTTGAGCTATAATCATCTGCCGTATTATTTAAGACCGTGTTTTCTTTACATGAGCGCTTTTCCGGAGGATTTTGAGGTCAAGCGGTCGAATCTCATTAGGTTGTGGGTGGCGGAGGGGTTTGTGAAACCGATATTAGGTAAAAGTTTGGAAGAGGCCGCGCAAGTTTACTTGCAAGAACTCGTCGATAGAAATCTATTGTTGGTTTGTCGAGAAGAGATTAAAGGGCGCGTGAAAAGCTACATGATGCACGATATGATGAGGGAATTGTGCATTCGAAAGGCTCGGGAAGAGGATTTTCTTTTTCCTTCTAGAAGCTCGACCGACGATATTTCTCCCGAGGAAATGCTGCAGTCGCGTCGCCTGAGTGTTCATAGTCGCCTTTGCGCTAACCGTATTGCAAAATCAAGAAAGTTGAGAATCGTGAATCGTACTATGATGTGTTTCATTCGTAGATGGAGCAGTTACGAGAGTGAATTGAGTTTTTCCGAATCGCGAGCGCTTCGGGTTTTAAGCGCGGAAGAAGTTAAGGTGTCGAATCAAGACAAGAGATTAATGAACTTGAGGTACTTATCTTCGGATATCGATTTAGATTTAGGGGGTAATCTTCGCGCGCCGTTTTATAATCTACAGACTTTAATTATCAAAAGAAAGCCTGGGGTTACAACTTCATCGCTTATTGGCAGCAACGTGACATGGTGCTTAATGAATATGCCACGGTTAAGACATGTCAAGTTCATCGATACTTCTATGACATTAAATTCTCCGGGCGAGGACGAGGTTGTTGTTCTAGAGGATTTGCAGACACTCTCCCCTGTAGTCATTAACGAAACCTTTCCGAGGGTTCTTAAATTGTTTCCGAATCTAAAGAAGTTGGGAATTCGGAGGCATGGTGAACTCGTGATCGTCTCTACGATAGATCTTAACTATTTGAGTAAGCTCGAAACACTGAAATGTTTATGCGATTTGGGCACAGAAGCGCCGTCAATACTCTCCCTCCTCGTCTTCCCACATTCGCTGAAGAAGTTGATACTTTATCAATGTTCGATCCCTTTGGATTATTCGGACAGGATTGGGGAATTGCCGAATCTTGAGATTCTGAACCTAAGTTCGTGTCTGTTCGAGAGCCAAACGTGGGAGGTGGGCAAGGGGGGTTTTGGCCGGCTGCGGATGCTGCGGCTGCATCGCGTGGATATGGTTACGTGGCGCGCCGACGAGAGACATTATCCGAGACTCGAGCAACTCGATATTCGGAATTGCTTTAGGCTTGAGGAGATCCCTTCGGGCATCGGAGAAATTCCGACATTGCAGATCATCAATGTGCATAAAACAATGAGTCCATCTGCAGTAGAGTCGTTAAGGAGAATCCAAGAGGAGCAGCTTGAATATGGGAACAGCTTGCAAGTTCGATTCTTCCTTTGAATAGTCGGGATCGATAGTCTACGTTGTGTAAACAACTTAAGTGTGATTTTTCCTGTGAAATAGTTTGAAATGATTTTTCCTCGTTCAATTGTATCTGATTTGATCGGACACGGATTTTAAAAAAAATAGATAAAATAATTATATTTTAACAAAAATCGTGAGTTCATAACTTAAAATATTGACACCTTCACTCTTACCTTGTAAGCTAATACACATTCGAAGAGTGTATTTGATTTGTACTTCAAATTAAAATGACCACAATTAAACTAATACCATTCTAGTACAAGTAGTATATTATTTTGAATAGAAAATATATTTGTCATATGTTTTATTCTTGTGAAGGTATATATTTTGCAATTTTAGTCTATCGAAACCCAAAATATATGTATATGCTTTTTAGTAAGTATTATAAATATCTTCAAACTTACATTTATTTACATCAATATATTAAAATTAAGTTAAAAAAAAAAAGAAAAAAAAATTTTATAGCACAATTTTTTTTTATATAATTTTTCATTATAACTGAAAGTATCAATTTTATTATTTTTTTATATATATTTATTTATGTTATGTTATAGTATAGTAAAAGTAAACATGTTAATATCACAGTATTCTTAATTTTTATATAAATCACAAACTAATATATATATATAAAGCACAAATGATAAAAAGTTAAATTATCTTACATGTTTTTATAAATTAATAAGATATTATTACGTATTAATTTACTATACAAACCCAAATTATCTTACATATTTTTTTTAAATACTAATATTTTCTAAATTGTTATGTTCTACACCGGATGGAGAAAGCAATGTTTTCAATAATTTCAATAAGGTGTGTTTGTTTGAGAGTTTAGATTTTGAGTTGGTATTTGAATAGTAAAATTTTTTAATATGAATAGTTGTATGATGCGATATAAATAGGTGTTCATGTGATGTTTTTTAATATAAAATTGATTTTTAGTATAAAAAAATAAGAAACATGTATTTGATTTGATGTTTTGAGATAAAAAAATAAAATGAATAGTTTATTTAAAATCCAATCCCCAAACAAACACATCCTATAAAGAAAAGTAAATGGGTTAAATATTATATTTTTTAAAAATAAATTTCTTAGATAAATCTACTTGTATATTTGTTTATTTAGATAATTTTATAGGACATTATAAAAGTGTATGAAACATTTTAATATGGTTTAGAAAATTCTAATGGATTATTTATAGTCATTATCTCCAATGGATCAAAATAAGGATGAGTTGTATATAATAGAGGGTTTTATTTGTATAGTTATAGACCAAAATAAATGTTTGTTTAAGTATTATAAGAATAAATTAGTGTTTAAACTTGGGAAAAAAATAAAAAATTTTATCGATTATATTATAATAATAATAATAAATAAATTATAAAAATAAATGAAAGAAAACCAATTTATGGTTAAAAAAAAAAAATTAATATTCAGCATAAAATATAGATAATGCTGATTTTTTTTTATTAATTTTTTCTAATTTTTCATTTTGACATTATAGTTTATGTTAATAATTATAATTGTATAAAATTTCTTAAACTACATTAAAGCCATATTTTTGTTCTAACAACTTTGGAATGGAAATCTTATCTCAGGCCTAATATTAAAAATAATAATAAAATAAAAAATAAAAATCAGTAGATTTAAAATTAAATTTATAATATACTAAAAATACATATGTGCATGTAAAGTTGAGATGGCCGAGTTGGTCTAAGGCGCCAGATTAAGGTTCTGGTCCGAAAGGGCATGGGTTCGAATCCCATTCTCAACATAATAATTTTGTCAAATTGTAAGGGAGGATAAGTCATATTTCAAAAAAAAAATTTCTTTCCGAAAGGGCATGGGTTCGAATCCCATCCCATTCTCAACATAATAATTTTTTTATTTACAATTTCGAAAAAAAAGAATAATAATACAAAAAATTACTTTATTACAACATTATAATTTTGTGGAATTAGTTTTATGTTTTTGATAACATAAGATAGGTCATAATTCCAAAAAAATCTTCTTTGTATTTTTTTCTTAAAATTTATAATTCTTAAAAAAAAAAAATTAAAAAATTAATATACTAAACATATTTATTATTTTTATATTATTTACACAAAATAATATATTATCAAAAGTTGAAATGACCAAGTTGGTATAAGGCGCCAGATTAAAATTCTGAATATTATAATTTTGCGTTTTATCTTTTAATAACAGAAGATATGTCATTTTTTTTTTTTTTATCAGAGAAGATAGGTCATAATCGATTGTATAATGTCTAGACATGGAACAACCACTCTCCAAAAAATCTTCCTTTGTGTTTTTTTAGTGAGATTTACTATTTTTTTAAAAAAAAATCTAAAAATATTAATATATTACACATATTTCTTATTTTTATATTATTTATATAATTTCTTATATCTTATATATATAAAAAAATAATACTTAGAAACAATTTTACTTTTATTTTTATTGTGTTATTTATATTGAATAAATATATTTTTAATATTAAATATAAATAATAGTAAACCAACAAATTAAGTATCATGAGTGTGATATTTGAAATATATATATTTAAATCGAAACAATAAATTAAAATAAAAATAAAAAAATAATTGAATAAAAATAAATTTGAATATAATTTTATTTTTTATTTTTGAAAAATAAATAAAATTAATAAATAGTAGAAATATACTTAAAAGATACTACTACTTTTGTGGGTTTTACTACAAATTTTTATTATTCAAATTTTTTTTCCTAAAAAAAATCACATCAAACAATTATTATTTTTAATTATATTACAAATTTATTTTACATTCAAACAATTACATCAACCTTTATTTATATCACATCAAATAACTATTCAAATTTTTTACTATTCAAAAATCTAAATCCAAACCTAAAAACTAATTAAAAGAGCAATAAAATAAAAGTAAAAAAATCATAATATATAATAAACACAATTGTCTCTGCATTAATTATATTTCTTTTTGTCCTATTGAAACATTGTCTTTTATTTTTTGTACTTAAATTTTCTAATATTAGTATCATATTAAATTGTAGTAAAAAGACAAAAAATATTCCTATTAAAAGTAATGAGGAACGAACAGAAACAACAACGTTGACATAGTATGTGGGACTGAGGAAGTATTAATTTTGTTGAAAATAATCTCACAAGACCAGGCCGAGTACAACAAATATGCCGGCGTTAATATTACATAGATATGTTTAGAAAACAAAACAGTACTTAGGGTCCAAATCCGGGGGCAAATATCTATAATTTGTTTAATGTTTAATTAATAATTTTAAATTAAAAATAATGTTAAAATCACGTATAAATTTAGATATTTTAAGAAGACAAATGGTATATAAATACATAAATTAATATTTTAACTTTGAAAAAAAAAAAAAAAAAAGCCCGAATCTTGTATGTTTCTTTTGATATGTTTGAAAAAATTTTGGTTTGAGTTTGATATTAAATTAATGTATGATCAGATATTTTTTGATAATAAAAATTGTATTTTTAGAAAAAATCGCAAAGTTAAAATAGTAAAAAACTGAGGTTTAATGACTAAAGAAAAAAACCAGTATTTGTCTCAGATTATGTGATTGAGGTTTTTTCTTTTTTAAAAAAATATTATAATATTTATTCAATCAAGGATTGTTTGTCTTTATTGTAATATTTTTTTGGACAGTGTTGCAAATTATATATTTAAAGTTTTTTTTTTTTTTTAATATTATAGTACTCTTTCAGTCATTACAATATGTGTGTTGATTTTATTGGACATGAATTTTTAAAAACAATAGATAAAAATAAAAATATTATTTTTTATAATAAAAGAAAAAATAACAATAGTGGTATTTTTAATTAAAAAAGATAGAGAATTAAATTTTGATGATAATAAAATAAAAATAAAAAAAATAAAATAATAAAATAATAGATGGAGAGAGAGAGAGTAGTATTTATTCAATACAACCCGTTATTCCGAAAACATTCCAACTCAATACACCCGAGATAATGAGATAGTGCGGCCAAGCCTGCGGGTGGTGGGTCCCACCATAATTCAAAAGCGTGATTCTGAACTAAGATGAATAAAGTAAAAAGTGTCGAAATATCGGAACACGATTCTCTTTAGAAAGTTGTTAACGGAACAAAGGGCAGCCCGGAATCTTCCGGCTACAGGCCAAACCTGCTGCCCTGCAACGGCCACTATTCCATCATGCGAGTGACGATCCGACGGCTCTGATTTGCCCCCGATTCCAGTCTCCAGATTTGAATCTCCTACTAATTGCCTTCGCTCACAGTTACTCGAGCTGGCTGCGTCTGCGAAGAAATGGCATCTGGTTCGTCGTCGGGAACAGAGAAGAAGAAGGAGAAGGAAGAGGACGATAATGGGAAGCCCTTGGAAGAACTGGCCAAGCAGAAGGGGAGGAAACAAGGATTGGGATGGATTGAATGGATGATGGGGTGGTTTTATCTGGTTTACGAGATGCTCTTCCAGAGGATCATCGCAAGTAATTTGCCAAATCCAATGCCTCTCCCGCCGATCAACGACCTTACTTTCATCGTCACCGGCTCCACTTCCGGCATCGGCAAGGAAATCGCCAGGTCATTTTAATTTTAGCTTTTGCTTTTGTGTTTGTTTCCAGCTCGTATTCGTTTTAAATCCGAATAATTGTATGATTGCATCCATTATTTATTTCGTTGTTGGATAGAATGCGATTCATGTTGACGGAAAAAATTTCATCTCTAGTTTTGGTTGTTTGACCTTGTGAAACAGTCCTTAGTGATTTGATGGTGTAGTTTAGGTAGAATGCTTTCCTATGTGGTTTTAATTTGTGATATGGTTTAAGGTAATTGTTTTGAGTGCTCTTCGTCGATTGAAGTTTGGATTGTGTGGTGACTATGCTTGTAGATGGATTGTGTTCATCAAGTTCATGGCTATTGAATTCCAGTTCTGCAAATTAGGATCTTGTGTTCACGATGTGATTTGTTTTGCTCTATGACATTGTTAATGGTATTAAATGCAGGCAACTGGCTGAAGCAGGTGGGCATGTTGTGATGGCAGTCAGAAACCCGAAGGCAGCTAATGACTTGATAAAGAAGTGGCAAGAAAGTTGGTCGGGAAGGGGTCTTCCTCTTAACATTGAGGTATTTTAGGAAAAAATTAAGCTTGTAAATGGGAGTGGGGATATATTTAATCGAGTAAAATGTTAGGTTGTGATTTCCTTTTTCGATTGGATATAAATTGACCTTGTTTATCTGATCAATGGAATGAAGTATGCTTTTGTATTGTATAAGAGGCTCTCCATCTCAACTTGTTGATTATACGTAGGCTTTTCGTAGATGACTGTTCGAAAATAATAAATCAGTTGTATTATGTCATATTAATTCTAATTAATTGATGGAAAATTATCTTTTCCACCTTTTAAGGTCATGGAACTTGATCTTAACTCTATGGATTCTGTTGTGAGATTCGCTGAATCTTGGAATGCTCGTTCGGGACCTCTTCATGCTCTCATCAATAATGCTGGAATATTTTCAATTGGAGGTTTGTGTAAAGAATATACTCGAGTTGAACTACTTTAATTTTGCTCCGTAGCATTTAATTTTACATTTTGGAGGTTAGTTGCTAATAATGCACGCCAAGTCATATCTGCATTCGTAAATTTAAGTTTCATTTCCATGTGTGTCTTCATGTCTTGTGGGTGCATTATGTCCCTTTACATTTCATTGCTTAGGCCACACACACACGCGCATTTTTTTTTTCCTTTTTTGTGGTAGTCCCTCTTGTCATAGTTGATTGTTCAAATTCATATGTTGCTGTGTTTCTTCTTCCATTGAGAAAACTTCGAAGCATCCATATGAAGCTACTTGGCTAACACTCTGATCTTTCTAGAACCACAAAAATTTTCAAAGGATGGCTATGAAGAACACATGCAAGTGAACCATCTAGCTCCAGCACTGCTTTCGGTGTTGCTTTTGCCTTCCCTTATTAGAAGCTCACCAAGTCGCATTGTCAATGTGAATTCTGTTGTAAGTTTCACAAGAGCCGTATTTATATATCTATGTGAATGTCAAACATAAGTCTCTTTCTTGATTCTAAAGAGGAAAAGTGTGTTTGCATAAAATGAAATATTTAATCTTGGTGTAGAGAAATGCATAGGAATTGAAAGTGCGCATTGAATTAGAATTATCTAGTATCGTCGTGACATCAGGGGAGAAAATTACTATTCATCAAAACAATGTTAAATATCATTTATAAGATTTGATTCTATTGATAGTTCATGAGTTCTATGCTCTCTGAGCTTTTTGCATCTTTTTGTCGTTGATAATTCCTTAGGGAACTTTAAGTTGCTGAAATAACATTAGAACAAGTCTGTAAAATATAGCCACGACATATAGCTACAACCAACTCTCGAACCTAATATTTGAATAAGTTGCATTAAGCAATTTTGAAATTTTCCATTGCAGAGATGTAAATCAAAGGAAGGAATTTGATAAAATTGTTCTGGACTTCCTGATTTTGCATTTTTCATTCCTTTTGTACGAGGTGCATTGATAATTGTTCATAACTTATAGAAATATGTAACCATGGAAAGTGGTTGTATACTTTGATTTAGTTGATGAGAATCATCCATATAGTTTCCAACTAATTAATCCATCGAGGATATCATGTCCAACATAGGCATCCACATTATGCTTTCCATAGTTCATATAAAGTAAATCCCCCATTGTTTCGGCTTAATCAATAAAAATGTAGGATCACCTTGAAAGATATCCAGAAGCCATTTGTTTTAATCTGTGATCATGTGTCAAAGAATCCTGTGGTTATTTGTAAGATTAACTTTTAGGAACGTTAGACGAGTCTCATTGTTGGAATTGTTTGTTATACTTCGATATCTGATATGATCATCGGCTTGAAGTAAACTAATAGAATTTTCACCTTTATGCAGATGCATTACTTAGGGTTTGTTGATCCAGATGATATGAATGTTACATCCGGGAAAAGAAAATTTACGAGTATGGCGGGATACTCAAGCAGTAAACTAGCACAGGTGCTTTAAAACACTGGTTTGATCTTAGCTGTTCTTAGCAACGGCTTTAACTAAAATTTTCTATTTCTTACCTCACACTTCTCACCCGTTTTCTACTTTTGGGATATTTGAATGCAGGTCATGTTCAGTAGTATCCTTAACAAGAGACTGCCAGCTGAAGCAGGCATAAATGTAGTTTGTGTTTCGCCTGGAATAGTCCACACCAATGTCGTAAGTTTGTTACTCTTGCAAGATTTTGAATTGGTTCATTTTTCTCCAAAAGCATGATGATTGTGATTTAAATTTCGAATTATCTATAAATGCAGGCTAGGGATCTTCCAAAGATTGTTCAAGCTGGTTACCGTTTAATACCTTATTTTATATTCAGCCCTGAAGAAGGTAAATCAGCTGAATTTTATCAAGTTCCCGGCTATCTAACTGCTCGACCGTCTTTCTAATTCATTAAGGCTTAAATTAATGGCTACCATTAAGACACTGATAAGCTCAATCCTTCAAACGATATTTCTGCTAATTATGCTATAAAGAAGTCGACCGCGTTACATAGATTGAACTCAGTAAAGATAAACATAAACGAGTCTCCCGGGGAGATGTGCACATCATAAGTTGATTTCTTGCATTCATTTCTTTCTATGACCGATGGGCGAGCAAACGAAAACACTATTGTTGTTTAAGTGCATTTGAATATCGATGTTATTCCTTTGATTCCTCTATTATATTCATGATGGTTATTTGATCGGGATTACCTTCAGCTCACTGCATTTTCCAACAAATGATGTGAAAGCCAGTTACTCGATTTTCTGGTCTATATTGTAGGCTCAAGGAGTGCCCTTTTTGCGGCCACTGATCCTCAAATTGTGGATTACTGTGATTCACTAAGAGCCGACAATTGGCCAGTCTGCGCCTTCATCAACCACGACTGCCGCCCTGCAAACCCCTCGGAAGAAGCCCACAATGCGGAAACTGCTTACAGAGTGTGGGACAAGACACTAGAGCTGATTGGCCTCCCGGCAGACGCCATCGAAAAGCTCATAGAAGGCGAAGAAGTTAAATGCAAATTCGGTGCTCATCATTAGCTGCCACATTTTCCTTTTACCATTACTAATCTTTCACTGATACCATCAAGTCAAGACGATGGGAAAAGCTTCTCTACAATGTCACAGGTTTTTTTAAACTCCCCTAATGTTTTCTGGTAATCGAATCCGCGCCATTGCAGCTGCAGCAGAATGATGAATCCTCTTTGTGTGATTGTTCGATACGAGCTGATGCCGCTGGATTTATACAGCCAGGCTATACTTAATTGAAGTTATTTCTATGGCGGCGTGTTCTTTTTTTTTTTTTCTTTTTCTTGTGTTGCTTATTACTGCTACGGATTCGGGGATGCTTCTGTAGGAAATATTTGCTCCTCCTGATTCGGACTTAGAGATAATTTTTGTTTATTTCTTTCTTGATTCGATTGTTTTGGAGTTTAGATGATCACTAGTCATATAATACTCCATGCAATGTTGGTGCTTGTTTTGTATTGTTAGTTGAAAATGTTAGAATTGCATTGCTACAATCTTTGCCTATGTAGAATGGTTCTTTGTTGTTTTTGGGATATAGTTTTGGATGATTTGAAATAATAGGATTGCTGGCTTAATGCTATTTGTGCCTGTATATTTTTCATAAATATTATTAAAAATACAATGTAGACACGTGTTAATATAATATACTTTTTTTTTTTTTTGTCATAAGTTGGGTTAAGATATATATTCATTTTATGAACAAAAAATACAAAGTATTCTAATTATAATATATAGCTAAAAATAATATAATGATATATAATAATTATTTTAATGTATATTTTATTTACTTATAAAAAAATAACAAAAATATATATATTTTTTTATGTTATCAATGTAATTTTAGGCCTCCTAGACCCCCTCATCCAAAATGATTAAACTCCATATGTTCTCTCCTTCCATGATAAATTACTACATGTGAGTTTGTTTACCATTGAAATGGACGTTGTGTATTCAATAAAAAAATATATTATTTTGTTTTACAAAATATCACATCAATATATTTATTTAAATAAAAAAAATTTAATATTTTATTTCAAATCAATTTTAAATCATACTCAAACAAACTTTTTATTATCTTCTTATTTTCATCCATTTGTTGTAACATATGAAATATAAATACTAATATTTTAAAATCAATGTACAAAAAATAAATAAATACATTTATATAGAGTGAAAAGAACATATTATATTATAAATTAAATATTAAATAAATAAATGATCTCCAAATCAACTTGTACCTAAAGTTTGAACAATAACCAAACAAACCTTAATTCTTTAAGTTTGAATTGACCTTTATTGTGGTAAATACAAATTTCAAACAAAGTCAAGTTAAAAGATATTCCAAACTTATTCACTTTTGCCTTTCACCTTTTCTTTTTACACAAATAAATAAATAATGCATAATTTAAAATTTTTTAGGTTGGTGTCATTCAGAAAAAAAAAAAAAAAAAAAAAAAAAACTCCTATTAAAAAAAAACTAATAGTATGTTGTCTCAATGTTTTTAGATGAATTGATTTTTGTGTGTTTCCATGAAAAACTACATTGCAATATAAAAAATAATTATTTATACTAATATATTCTTAATTACTAATTATATTTATCTTAAATTCTAGTATCTAGAGTAACCCGGACACGGTACATGGGACAGATGGAGTATAATATGAAGAAAAAAAATGACAAAATACATCTTATAATACTAATAGAATAACGTTTATAAAAAAATATATAAATATATGATATTTTTAACGTTAAATACAATGACACAAAAGTGTAAACTTATTAAGTGGACCGAGAGAATATTATATTAACGGTTAATTCTTCTAAAATCTTTATTTCACAAATTGTTTTCCTTGTCAGTTCCTATTTTCATATATTTGTTCTTTATAATTCCCAGTTTATTCTTCGCAACTCTCCATTTATAATTTTACATATTTTCACCTATAAACTTCTAATTTTGCCTTTAAAATAATATTTTATTTATAATTCTATACACCTAAGTAAGTCAGAACTCTTAATTTAATTAATACTCCCTCCGTCCCACGTAACATGTCTATGATGCCGTTTCTGTCCGTTCCACATTTCAATGTCATTTTTTTTTTAAATGATTACACACTTAATTTCATTTTAAACTTGTTAATTTATTTTTTTAAAATTTTAGTTTAATTAATTAATTATCTTAATTTTAATTTATAATTATTTATATTATAAGATAATTATTTTCACTAATATATTTTTAATTATGTACTAATTACACATCTAACAGTATAGCATAAAGTATATGGGACGGAGGAAGTAATATTTATAGAAAACTTTTCGGAAATGCTGAATTGAACAAACTGGTTTTATTGTAAAATTAAAAATAATTTTACTTTCCAAATATTGAAAAAAATTTTGAGAGGATGGTTTGAAAAATGAACCGGAAATTAACAAAACATATCCCTAATTTTAAGTACGATAGTCTACGATTTTGAGAGAAAACGGGAATGATTGCAGGTAAAAATATCGTCAGAAAATACGAGATTTTATGAACTGTGTATGATGCAAAAAGGTTGTACCATTTCCTCATTCCCAATAACGTAAGCCCTGCCCTGCATTGAATGTTTGTACGGCCCTCCAGAACACGTGTCGACTTTTCATTGGATCACACTCAAATCAGTCTTAGCGGGGTTTATATATGTATATATATATAGATTGAATGCTTCTTCCATTCCCTTCTGGCTTCCTCTAAATTCTAATCTCTCTCCTAACCTTCCTTGCTCCCAATCTATACATACACTTTATATACACGCGTTATCCTACTCATTAATGTCTGGATGAGCTTCGATCGGAGCTGAAATCTGGAATTTATGTTACAGACGTTTCGTGATTTTGCAGAATAACGTCAAAGGAGGTACGCTTGGAAATTTGAAGTTAATGCGATTTATTATTGTTTGCTTATTTTATTACTGGATCGATCTCGTTTTGAGCTTCTATGGCTACGTATAAGCTCTGATAGTTGGAGGAAAATGAAATGTTGATTTTGAAGTTGTAGTTAATTGGTAAATTTTTTTGCACTGTAGTGTTTGTTGGTTTTATCTGCCTCTGTGTTTGTTGGTTGTGGAGGGATCATATGGTGGATATGTATTAAGTTTGTCTGGTCCTCTGGGGAACGGTTGCATTTAAGGCACTGTCTGCCCTTTTATTGATGTTGCTTGGTGACTGACTGCACTGTGTGTTTGTTTTTTATTTCGTAATTTTGGTGCGCGGTGATTATTGAATATTGGTGTTTGTGTTTATGAATGGTTGGGACGATTTGTTGGTGGTTATTAATGGTGCTTGTTGAATATGCTTTTTTTTTTTGTTTTAATGGCGTAGGGTCTTTATTAGTGTGGTGAAATGCTGGCGAAGGTGGAAAATGCGGCTATTGGCGGTGGTGAAGAAGTGGTCGCTGCCGCAGCGGCGGTGGTTGCGGCGTCGAATCATCAGCCGCATAGGAGAAGATGCTTCAACAAACCTTCCTGGCTTCTATGCACCATTGCTGGTAACAAATAAGACTACCTTTTGTCTGTGTGTGCGGAATTCTTAGGAGCTCCCGGTGCTCGAAACTGGAATGAATCTACACCGTCAACCGCGTTGCGTCGGTGACACTAATGGTGTAGATTCCTCTCCGGATCTGAGCTCCAGGAGCTCCCGAGAGTTCCTAGTTCTCTTTTTTCGCATTTTTTAACCTTCTTCCTAAATTATGCGTTGAATCTTCCACATTTTTCTCCGTGATTTGTCTCGTGTTTAGTAAATCTAGTTACTGTTTAGAATGATAACTAGCTAGGGATGGGTAAAAGTTATGGCAAGAAAAATGGATATAGATTATAAGTATAGGTAGCAATTTAAAGCTTGGGGAAGGTATTATTTCCTTCTTTAAGTGTTTCTTCAGGAATTGACAGACACACTTTCCATAGCTTACAGAAATACCTCAAATGAATCGATTATCGATCCCAACCAAATATACATAAAAGAAAAAAGAATTGAATTTCAAATTTCAAACAGTGGGCCCACTAAGAGTTCCTTGGGAGTCGAGTACTTTTATGCTTCTATCAGTTTGTCTTTGAGTGGAACAATATTCTGAGAAGTCACTTTCTATTCCTCCCTAAAAAACTGAGGACCCAGAAAGGTTCTATTCTCATAAGCCTGCAGAGTTTGCCCTCTTGTGCAAATATGCTAAAATTACGAGTTTCCCCCAAAGGGGCAGATGTTTGAAATTTGAACCCTTTGTCAGCAGTAGCTCTCACTGCTGCCTTGCTGCAGATACCATTTGATTTGATTCTGATTTTGGAGATTTCTGCTGTCACCCCATGTGTATTGCCCATTGCTTATATATGTCAGATGTACCCTTGATGATGATGATGATGATGATGAATGGAGAAATCCAAAAATCTTGACCTTTTAGGTGATCATCAGCATAGCATTTTTCAAACTCAAATTGCTTTATGTACTTGCATAAATCTAGGGAAAAAAAATAAAAAAATTAGTATTTAGTTTGATACTTAGTAAAAAAAATACATTGATATATGTAATTCTTCTCTAGTTTGGCTCTGTTTAGACAGGATTTTGGAATTTTGAAAATTTGAAAAATGAAAGTAAAAAGTTAGTATTTGATTTGATATTTTAATACTAAAAATACATTGATATACGTAAATAAATTCTTTTGGAGGTTTTTGAAATTTTAAAAATTTGAAAATTTTTTTAAAAATGCTAGTATTTGATTTTATGTTTTGTGAGAAAAAATTTATATTTAATGTGATGTGTTTTTTAAAAAATGAATAGTGTCAAATGAGTGATATGATTGTATAAAAAGCCTGTTTTTCTTTTTGCCTTATTGTTACCTTTTAGGCCATTTTAAACTGGGCAACTTTATTTATGCCATTAGAGCATCTGTTACAGACATTACCTCTGCTTTATTATCTTTTTTATTTCTCTCATCCACTTCATATCCAACTCAATATTTAAATTTATTTATTTTATCTCTCATTATACTAATCATTTTTAACACATTACCTTTGCTATTTTATAAGATCCACACTAATTTTTTTATTTCTATATATTTGTATTGCATAATATACATAAATTATTTATTTAATTATATATTTTTTTATTATCTAATAATATTTTTATATAATTTTATATTAAATTTTTAAATTATCTATATAAATTTTAATATATTGAAATATATAATTTACTATTTTAAAAATTAAAATTATTTGAATAAATCTATATATATATTAAAAAAGTTTTGTTAATTTTAAAATTTTAAATTTTTTTGAATAGTATTTAATTATTTTTTAAATTTTTGTTGAAGATAATAGGTTCTTTAAGAAATGTAATAAATTGTGAATAACTGTATTTCTTATAGTAAAAATTAAAAAGATAATGATAAAAGTAATAAGAGAAATGACTTGTAAAAGATGCTCTTATCAGTTGCTACAGTAATTTTACTCAAATTCACAACTCTACTTTTTACTCCAAAAATAATATTCTTCAAATATTCCATTTTATATATTATTTTAAACCACATTTTATATCTAAAATTAATTTTTTTAAATTTTTTTAAAAAATTAATTAATACAAATTAAAAAGAAAAGATCAACGCCATAAAAATGGCGTTACTACATTTTGGTGTTTGCTAACCATTTTTGGTGTAAAAAATAGCGCAGGGTTGGAGAGTAAAATCTCCATCTATGGGGCTGCAACCGTTGGAGATGGCCTTAATAGGTTGTGTATTTGAAATCCCAATAAGAAACTTAGACCAGAAAATAAACTATAATCACTACTATAGAAACAATTAATTTCCTCAGCTAGGACTACATTATAAGCAAACTATAAATATGAATTTGACTCATTAATATTTATCAACCTTTATTGTCAGATTGTGACAAGAAATTTGAATTTTAAATACGATCTTGTTTGTTTCTTGGTACCAACTAGTGTAATGTCATGAAGCCAACGGTAATGTGGTCCTTTGAATTTCAAAAAAATCGAAATGCTTTCTAGATTTGAAAGTCTGTCTACCTTCATTTAATACAAATTTGAAAAAAAAAAACTTGTGTCATCGAACAGATTTGGACGAGAGGATGAACATTCTTACAAAGAAAGTGTCTAAAGAGAACACTTCCGACAGCTTTGCAGCAAGGGCGAACTCGTACTACCACGAGCGCCCTCAGCTGCTCGCCCTGCTCCACGACCTCTACAACGGCTACCTCTCATTGGCAGACCGTTACTGCCAAGCCCTTTCCAAGAACCAAAACCGTTATAATCATAACGGGAGCCGTTGCGCTTCTCCTTCCCCTGTCGTCGACGAGATCAACGATGGGGACATTGGAGAAGTCGTCGATTCTGACAACGAGAGTTCGCTCTCGTTCCAAATTCCCGTTACACAGCCTTTAGAGATCGATGCTGACATGGTCATCGCAGAGATGGTGATGAAAAATGTGGAGTACGATGTTGTTGTTAATGAACTTTCTGTTGTGGAGAAGGCCTGTGTCGAGTCATCGAGGAAAATGGAGCTGCAGAAGAACTTATTAGATGTTCTCGAGTCCGAGAGGCTGATACTTCTGAACGACAACGCCACGTTGGGCTACAGAGTGGCGGCGTTGGCGGAGGAGAATCAAGGGTTGGGGTCGGAGTCGTTGTTTTTGAAGAGGAAGGTCGCTGAGCTGGCGAGGTGCGTTTTGAAGACGAGGGAGGATCATAGAGTGTGCGTTTTGAGCCGGAAGATAGAGGATCTTCAGGGGCAGATACATTCGTTGGAGAAGAGAAATAAGGAGTATCATGAGAGATTGACGAGGCATGAGGATAGGAAGAAATCGGGCGAGAAATGGTCGGGGAAGAGTGTGAAGGGCGGGGAGGAGGTGAACTTGGAGGAGTGTTTTAGGGTGCGCGACGGGGTCGGGTTGTCGAAATGCTTTAGCTTTAATAAGCGCAGCAGTGGTAGCCTTCGCGAGAAAGCGCGCCCAAATGTCGATGAAGGTCGAAAAGATTCGTCTTCTTCTTCTTCTTCGTCGTCTTCTTTTAGGTTGTGGGATAAGGTGAGGAAGTTCGATATATTTCCCTGTGGACCTTACTTGGGGGCTATGGTTTAGCTGAGTATATTTAGGGAAAGTAACATATATATATATATATATATATATAATTTGGCTGTATGAAATGGTTTAAAATAGGGTGTGCTACTAAATATTGTGATGGTGGCATATGGTAGCACTGGCTTGAAGCCTTGAACTAGAATCACTATTGTTATAATGACAATTTGCAGCTATGGAATGATGGGGATGATTAATGTGGTAATGGGGAAAATCAATTTAATGTTGATTTGTTTCCATCAGTTTATGTTTTTGTATACTTGTGGGTGTGTTGGAATAATTAATAGTAACACATACTCCATATCATATAAAATGGTGATAAATTATCAAATTTCATACAATAACAGCTACTAGCCATAGTTAGGAATAATTAATTTCGAAGACTACTCTAGCATATGCTTTGTAATCGACTGGAGAGCAACTATCCTATCAAATATGCAGTTAAAGAAACTAGTTCAATAGTCGCCATAACTTAACCTAGCTTCATCTTTTTGTCTCACCAGAAACGCACGCTTCCTCCGGCAATCTGAAGCTTAAACAGAACATTGCCTGCGGACAACAAAGTCGACACCCTTCAAAATGCAACTCTAACGAAAATAGTCGCAAGATTTTTTCGAAGAATGTACCTTGTTGGGAGCAACATCTCTGACTCTGTGAAATATGGGATTGTGTATACGGGCACCCAATATAGCCTCCGCCTCCTAAGGGAGGAAAAAAAAACCCAATCTTTTTTAGATGGGACGAAGGCATGAAAAAGACAAATGGCAGGAAATTGAATGAAATGGAATATAGTTCTTGGCGTGATACGTACCCATACTATCAAATTCTCTGTCTCATTTGATCGAATGAAGCAATAGCAGTGGATCCAGGGGAGAGAGCCTTTCCAGTGATCTTTGTTGACGAGACCATTGAAGATATCTGCAAGTGCATAATCGTGTTCTTAAGTTTATCTTCTTTAACTTCTCCATGAATAACTCATTAGTTGTTAAAGGAAGTAGTAGGATAGAATCCCGAATAAAGAAGAGAAAGGCCATAATGGACTGACTTGTCAAGTAGACAGAAAAAAATGAAAATTATTCAAGTCTTTTCAATTCAATAAGACAGCCCTTTTAACGGCAACCCACAGCCAAATATAAATGATATATTATGCCGTATACAAGATAGTATTAGCAACCATAAAAGATTTATCGATTCAAGGTTAAATAATATCTTGGATATAATCTTGATTCTCAGCCAATTACCATGAGAACTAAATATAATATATATACATATATATATATATATTGGGTAGTTCTATGTCATTCCAAATTCCATTCAACAATCAACAAGCATACCATCATTCGCGAAAGCCTTAACAAGTGATCAAAGTTAGATTAAAAACTGATTTCGCTACTTTGATGAAAGAATGGATGAATGGGCAGACAGAGACAGAAAATACAGAAAAATGAGAAAATTACCAAGAAACTGTAAAGCAGAGGCTGGTAAATTCATTATGATATGATCGACATGCTCCCATGGCTTTGCTGTGAATGGCTGAGACCCTCTTACACCCTTATTTAGGATTCTTTTCTTCTTCTCAGGCACACAATGGCTGCCATTGTTAGAAGTTTCTTCTGAAGCAGACATTGCAGAGCCACACATATAGCATTAGGTCAAGAAGAATTAAATTGAAATATCACTTGAATTCAAACTTAGAAAATGTCGACTCCCACCTTCAAATATAGTTTCAGAGTGCCTTTTTACGGCTGTTAGCGTTTCATCCTTTTCCTTTTGTTGTCCACTAGTTTCATAATCCGACACGTTCACCTTAGGAATTTCTTGCACAGCTCCTTCACAATAAATTTTTTCTGACCTTTCTTCTGTGTTAGAATGTGTCTTCTCTTTTTCGGAAGACGACTTCCAGATTTCAGTATCAGAATCCAGACAAGCTTCACTTGAAGGCCGCACCATCAGTGACAAAATAAATTGTCGTGCATCCAAATTGTATGCACGGACTAGGTTAGAGACTTTGTTTCTTTCGGCATTAATCTTCAAATAATGTACGCTATCAGGATTTAAATCATTCCCATAAACTTGGCACCCTTTTTGCGCTGCTGGAATAGCAAATGGACCAATGCCCGCAAACATATCACAAACAGTATCCCCAACCTCAAACTTCGAAACTAGCCTTAGATGTTCGTGTTCCAATCTAGAATTCCAATACACCAAGCTGTAATCAAGTCTGAAAATTGCTCCATATTGTCTCACCTCCGTAACCATGTTACTCTCTCCTGCTAATATTTCAAATTTTGGCACGCGGAACTCATTGGTTATTGCCCCAACTTTGTTGACAACTGTCTTGATTCGCGGATAATTTTTCTGTAAGGTAGCAAAATGATCATATTAAAGGCAGGACTATCGAGACTTACAAACAATTGAAATAACATAATTCAAATTAAACGAGAAACTATATGATAATATCTACTTTAACAAGGTTCCCATGAAGAGGCAGAGCATCAAAATAACTTTTTTCTATCTATAAGAATATGCAGGTAACAAATCTCTCATGTAAACTAATGTGTATTCACAATAATAGCTAACGAAGAGTTAAACCTTACCAAAAGTATCAAACGAGTTTGGATGCGTTTATACCTCAAATTTAAGTAGGACGTAGCAAGGATTTAAATTTTAAAGGGAAACTATTTTCAAGAATAAAAATTGACAGCCAAAAAAATAAGTAGCTGGAAATAAACATACATCATAGATAACTTTTGCTATAACATCCTTATAAGCGAGAAGTTCATCTGCAATATTCAAGTGGGCAATATGACCTGCACAAAAACCAAGTAACATAATCAGTGCCTCGAACCAGTCATGGAGAATCTGTAAGAGTTCACGTTGCAAGTTTTGCAACACCCAATCATAAAGAAATCCATTAACCGAAAAGGTGCCACTAGGAAATGAGTGCGTAGATAATATATTCAAGAAATATGTGAGCAATAAAAATTTAGAAATATTGATTGTGAGCTTTAGAATGGAAGATGAAGTACATCTAAGATACTTAACTATAGTTTCAAATGATGAAGGTACTTCAATGCCAGGAGGTAGAATTTGCTTCAATACATGTTCTGTAAATCAGAAATAAATTTGATATCAGCAGAAGATACAACCAAAGTCGAATTCAATACTTCAATAACTCACATAGATACACAGCCATCATATCACATAAAATCGACATAAGAAAACCTATGACACATAACAACCAACAAGTGTCCTCCAATTCCATAGAACTAACGAAATTCCACACAAATAATATCAGGTCCAGTACTGTATAAATCTTTTTTTTAAAAAAGGCAAGTACTTGAACAAACCTTCAATTTAGAAAGTCCAACCAATGAGAGGAAACAAAAACAGTGAGTATTATAACAAACAATTTTATAAGAACAAAATCGCAAAGCAGATAAGTAGCAGGTAGCCTCATTTACATTTTGTTCAGAGAAAACAAATCACATGAGTCCTAGAACTGCATAAAGAGGATGAGAAGTACCTGCACTCCAATATGAATAGTCCAGTGTCAATGAATATGGAACTACTTCCATCTCAAAGAGTTCTTTCAATTCATCCACTTTATGTCGGGGAATTTCAGATAAATCTATCAGCATTATTCAACAAATGATTACTAACAAACACAACAGTAATCTTCAAATCATAATCAAAAGAACAATTCCATCCACCATATAATATTATCAGTATTAGCTGGAAGAAAGGGATTAACAATAATGTAAACCTGGATTTTGGATTTTCTCGGATAATATCAAGTAACGATTCTTAACAGAAGTTGGATCCTCTGTTATCGGTTTGATCCGCGGCCTGTCCAGCAAATATCTTCATAGTAAACAGCGAAATGCGAATCGCGTTAGAATAAAAGCAATAGTAACTACAATAAGAAGACGAAGAAGAAGATATATGCAACTATCGATAGATTACCCATTAAAGATTCGTGTAGCGTGTTTGCAATGCTCACGAGGTATTCGAAGTGCCAACAAATTTAACTTCACGTCGAACTTCCTCTCGTCCCAAACTTCAACCATGATAACACTGGATCAATGTTAGGTGTTGATGAGTAAAGGAAGACTCCGACTCGCAGCGGTTATCAGCGGAAGCGGTGGTGCTCTGCCAGAAATTAGGTTTTCGGCCGCCAGTCTCCGATGGAAGTTATAAAAAATTCCCTCCACTGGTTTCCACTGTTCTTTGCCCCATAACACAAATTAGAAAAATTAGCACTGACCGCATTCGGTTCAGAAATCAGAACCGCCTGCTAGCCGGTTTTCGAACTGGCGGTTACGGTTCCAACCTAAACCGAATCGAAACAGTCGTCCGACGGTTGGGTTCGGTTTGTGATTTTGCAAAACCGTGAACCGGCGGTTCGGTTTGTGATTTGAGGTGGGGGAGGGGGAAAGGAGGAGAAAAGAACTGAGGAAAAAGAAGAAAGAGAGAACCTGGTGGCTGGTGCGGGCTGTGGATGTTAAATCACAATGTATTTTATTATAATAATAATAATAATAATAATAATATATTAATAATTAAAATTATTATATATTATTAAATTATTACAAAATTAAAAATAAAAATAAAATAATATTAATAAAGATAAAAAAATTATTAATAGATAGAAAAAAATAATATAATAGTATTATTTTATATAATTATATTTAAATTTTGTAAATTTTATTATATAGTTATATTTTATTTAAATTATATTATCTAATACGAGTATAATGTATTTTTTATATTATAATTATTTAATCGATTATTCTTTATATATAATTTTTACATAATGAATAAATAATATCTATATAAATAAAATCAAAATTAAAATTAATTATTTTAAATAAAATTTAAATTAAAAAAAAACTAGAAAATAAAAAATATTAGAATTAGTTGGGTGTGTTTATCTGAGAGTTTGGATTTTGGATTGAGATTTGAATAGTAAAAAATTTGAATTTGAATAGTTGTATGATGTGATATAAATATGTATCGATGTGATGTTTTAAATGTAAAATTGATTTTTAGTATAATATAAAAATAAAAAATTTAATGTATTAATTTGATTTTTTGAGAGGGAAAAAATTTGTGTGAATAGTAAAAATCCACGCAAATCCTTCAAACAAAATCACCCTTAGTAGATGACGCGGATTTTAAATACATTTAAATTAATCAGTAATGCAGGAAAAGTCACAGTGGACAATTACCGGAAAAATGAAGGACTAAACTGCAACTGTTCACATCATATGTTTACAGGGGAAACTTGCCACAAAAAACTTATGCATCAGAACAGAAGACACAAAAGAGCAAAGTTCATATCCTCTTCTCTGCTTCTGAAACATATATAAAAACATTCCTAAAAATTGCTACAATCCAATCTGGAAAATGTGTAGCAAAAACTACAGTAGCCATAACAGGAGGAAATCAAACTTATCCAAGATCGAAAATCGACAAAAAAATAAAAAAACATAAAAATCTACAGCATAGGAACTCGGTTCCAAGAGAGATAGGTTGTATCTCCCAAAGGCCTGCAAGAAAGATCGAAACAACGATTTTTTAGCTATTTAAAGAGGAGATTCATTCGCTGCGACAAAATGGTTGTATTATATTGGCCAAACCGATATCAGTAAGAGAATGTAAGAATTCCAAGACAAGAGTGAATATGATGTCGGGATTTGATTAAGCCTACCGAGATCAATGTTATTTGTTAAGAAAAAAAGGTGACAATGTTCGATGCAAAATCATGAAGGGGAACTTATTGCTCAAAAAGATCACATTGGCATAGTTGTCAATCTCGAAAAGTGATATATATATATATATATCAGTCGAGAATCATAAAATCATAAAATGTATAGTGGAAACTTAAAAATTATACCTATAGGTGCAAAATTACAAGCAAAAAGCATATAAAATATCTGTTATACATTAATCTTGTAAGTATTCAAATATGTAGAGTCTTATGCTAAACAAAACAAAATATCGAAATACATCATGATAGATTGTTATATAAGAAAATAAACAATCATTGTAGCTTTGATAAATAGATAATCAAATTTAATCAGATTCAAAATCTAATCTATAATTTTACTCTTTTCACTATTGTTGTTTATTTAGAATAGTGGTTATATATATCCTTTCTCTACATTAGAATTTTCCCGAAAACATATATGCATAAACGACCTGCAATGGAGCGGTCCATAGAACTGCTATCGCACACTATTGACTTCTATGCATATGTGTTATCGATAAACTTACTATAGAACATAAAATGGCGTAAAATGTAACATGGAAGAATCGAGAATTTAGCATTCTGTACTTAGTTACCTGGGAATGGCGATATAGAGAAGTATGAAAACTATAGCAAGGCAGAGGCTCGTTCCGCCAACAGTCATGTACATTTTCCCAAGGAAGTCGTTCTTTCCACCGACCCAGGATGCAGTAGAAATCACTAATGTCTTTTTTCCGTCATAAGAATAAGTGTTGTAGTTGTTTTGAATTTCCACAGTGATCTTTTCATCAGCTTCAAGATCGGTTTCAATCTTGCCGTATAATTTTCTGAATGTTGGCAATGCAGAAGTCCGCATCCAAACAATAAGATCTTCTTGCTCACTCAGCTGTCAAAAACAACAGAAAAGATAAATAATCGAAAACAATAATCATCGGTTACCAACACATTAGAACAAAAGTGAGTGAGTTTATATACTGACAGGTATCTTTTCATCGAGTTTTGCACCACCGATAAGGTCGCCACTTTGGAAATTCTTCGGGTAGACATGGGAACCGAATTTCTTTTTTCTCTCACCCGGCCAGGAAAGGTCCTTCTTGTTGATTGTTAGGGAGCTGTTCTGCTTCGAGAACACATAAGTGTCGTTGAATAAACTCCAAGCAACGAGCCCACAAGGAACAATGGGTTCATTATTTTTTGTTACACCTTCAGGTGCGCAGATCCCTGTATCATGTTCGTATTTTGGCTCCCGAATCTGACGATCACTTCTACTCTTCACATATCTAAACCAAATCACGACACAGCCGATAGAAATGTGCAGTTAAGTTTGCTCCTTAACACGAACAAAATAATATCAAAAAAGAAACTTTGGGAAGTATAGATTATAGTACCAACCGGCGATGATTTTGATAGAAATTGTCTAGCTGATAATACACGTAAACAGGACGCTGCATCCTCTTTGGAATCTATCAATTTCAGTTTGAGACCAAGACATTTATACAGAGATAAACAGAGATGTTCGAAAAAGGATCAATATTGAAAGAAATGAAAGGGATTTTAGAGATTACGATGAGAGTTCTGTAGCAAGTTTTATTAACTTTTCCATCACGGATGAATCTAGTCCTATCTTCTAATGAATTTAAATACTCCTGAGGGACACAAAGCTCATCGTAACGATCTATAAGCTCAACCACCTGTGCACAAAATTCCTTGCAATGAGAATGTTTCCACCATTTCATATATTAAATAATTCGAGAGCACAAAAATTGCATAACATTCAATGCTGAATTCTATAGCAAACCATTGCCAATTTTTTCTATGAAACAAATATGTCGGATACTTAATAGAGTAGAAAGAAGCATAAAGATTATTAGAACATTACATTTTCGGATGCCGACAAGGTGGAAAGACCAATTGGAATGAAGACTATAGCAAGAACGATGAGAATTCCTATAACCTGATAAAGATGAAAAAGGCACAACACAAATCAATCAATGACTCTTCAGGGGACTTTCATCGAACACGAGAGAATCAACATTTTTGTAGCAATGATTAAGCAACACGTACCATTCCAGGCGTTAAAATTGGCTTACAACCAGGAAGTTCTTGCTGAGTAAACCTAGAATCTATCAGATTATTCACAAAATTTCCTAATAAGTGCCATTTTCTAATGCAGAAAGAATAAACGAACAATCCAATTGTAGAACACTCAATAATATTGGGAAAAAAAAATGTAAATATATACACGGAGGCCTCTTGGACGTCCTCGAAGATCCTCGTGAGGATTCATCTAAACCGCTCATTGTGAACTCCTCCTACGGACGAACAATCACTTCACGAATGATCTCCCTGGAGAAAAAATATATAAATAAATAAACAATCAATCGAATGAAATGAAATGAGGAATCGTACAAATCATAGAGGAAACATATGGAATTTCCACCTTAATCTGCAGATTCCGGGGAACAACAATCGAAACAGCTATTTTATCGACTCCATTAATTACCCTCAAATTTCCATTTTCCCCTGATTCACAATGCTGTTCATGATATACCTTTTTTTCTGTAATCAAGGACGGTGATTGAGATAGAAATTTGTGAAATTAGTCTTGAATGAACAAATGAATCGGTAGAGAATGAAGGTGAGGAAGCATCGACGAACCTGTGAAGATGATTTCTTCCATGGGGAATGGATTCCTGTAATCGGAAGAAATGGCGTCCGAATATCGGTTGGATTGTCGGATAATATTTTGTGGTCGATATGAGTTATGGTAATTAGTAATAAATTTTCCTTATTTATCATTAAAACAAATAAATAAATAGGTTAACTTTCAATAAATATTCTATTAATAATTATTAAATAAGATAATATTTATTTGAATATTGTATATATATTATTGTTAAATACAATACGTTGCCCATTAGGCTCGGAACCGCCGGTTTGTCCATTTTCGAACAGACAGTTATATTTCAAAAGAAATGATTGCTTATAATACTTCTAATCAATTAGTTTATTTTCTCTTTGTGTGCTTGTGTATAATTTAATGTAAGCTTGACAAAATCTGTTACCTACTTTATAAAAAAATCTATAAGCGATGAGGTGTTTATTGATCAGGTTCATCCAACTGTTATAAGCAATATGATCTTTTAACTTTTAATGTTTAAATTATAAATCTAATTATTGGGACAAAGTGTCAGGAGAATTCGTTATAAGTTCTCGAAAATATAATTATTTTACTATACAATTTAAGGTCATACTTGTATACATAGATTTCTGTAAGTTAAATTTCATTCAATTGATTATGATTTTCTTACAAGTGATAGTGTATATAAAGGAGCACTAATGAATTTATTGTTCATTTAACTTTTTGAGGGTTAATTCTGCATATGGACTATAATTTTGCATAGATTTCATTGACTTTTGGTTAAATTTGATTTTGTATTAAGAATTAAAGAAATTGAAAATTATTGCAAAATTTTCATATTATTCATTCAATTTAAGCGTGTGTTTCAAGATAGGATAAAATTGAAATTTCACATCAAGAAGAATTTTGGGTAAAAAAAAAACAAGAAATTGAAGTCATATTCTGCAAAGGGCTGCACAACAGTTTTACATCAAGAAAGGGTTTTACATTAAGAAAGGAGAAAGAAATCAAAGACTTGTCTTGGCAAGAAAGCGCACGCGACGGCTTCAACGATCAAAACGCTATGCAACACTTCTTCATCTTCTTTCAAGTAGACATTAATTGTTTTTTTATTCTTAGCTATCGATGTTTAGTGGCTAAATTCTTATTTTAGTCTAAGGTTGGATTGATTTTTTGGATTATGGATCCGTGAGTTAGTTTTGCTGTTAAATTGAATATTTCGAATAATTGATATTTGTTCGATTTTTGCATATCGTGTTTACAGTCATTAGATGTGATTTATTATTGTAGTCATGTTTTAAGTCTGTCGATTAATTGTGAACTAATTGAATAACTACATCCGTAATTGTGTAATTATTGATAGAATATTAATTAGGTTAATGCACTTAACCTAAAAATTGCATTATGGAATAAGAAATTTTTTAACTCTCGTTGAAAGTCATCCATTTTAATGAAATAGTGAACTAAAGAAACATAATCACAGTCTATGTGAATCGATCATATTTTCATTATTCTACAACTGATTAAGAAATAAGTTATTATTTTATTGACAGTTCACACTTTATCAAGTATGCATATGGAATGCAAAAACTTCAAGCTGTATCGGACGACATAGATATAATAATATTAAAATTTATATTATTTAATAATTTTTTAAGAAAAAAAAAACTTTTTAAAAACATTCATCATTTATTTTTTCTTGTCAATTTGCAGAGAATGATGTGAAATCAATAACTTTTTGTTGAAGATGAAATTTTTGTAGTAGCCTATAAAGAAGAAGTTAGCATTTAAGAAAAAAATAAATAGTATTAACGTTGTCTCATGTTATGAATGTTATTCAAACTGAACTTATCTTAGAAACAAGTGATATTTTTCATACAATGTACTTTTATCACCATATCTTCTGACTATTAAGGGTTTTTTTTTTTTTTTGCACTGTTATTTATTAATTTTTATTTTTACATTAATCTCAACATATTATTTTTATAGTGATTGTCTTTCCGGATAATCTTTATCTACGATAACTGCTTATGCATTAGTTGCATATTACACAATTAATCTTAGAATATGAAACTATGATATAAAAAATTCATGCACATGTCTTCATCATGCCGAGAATTGCCGCTTAACAATTCGCAATGTTGTTCTTCATAGGTACGTAAAATTGTTTGTTGTTTGTTTTTTTCGGAATTGGTTTCATTAAGGGATATTAATGTGATTCTCAATGTGAATTGACTTATATTTTTTAGAAAATTTTGGAAATTCTTAAATCATGGTTATTAGGTTGCAAAATATTGTATTGTATGTGATTAATCTTCATATTGTCTTTATTGTTGTTTTTATACTTTACTTTTATTTTTATTTGGCAATTCTTTAATTCTCATCTATCTCAGAATATTTGTTGCTAGCTTATGGTGAACAACACGGTTTACTTCTATGATGCACTGGGATTGATGGAGTGACGTCAGTGTCTAATTATATAATTTTAGTGGTGAGAGTTATGTGTAGAATCACATTTTCTATTGTGTATATTTTGGCAAGTTGTTGTTTTCAATTATGATTTAATAAAAGTGGTATATTTTGACACCTCCAATTCATTATGTCAATTATTTATTATTATTGTTGTTGTTGTTATAGTAGTAGTACGATGAAGCTAAAATTATAATATTGAGTTGAATTTAACTTTTTAAGATTTATTGGCATAAAAGATTTTAAGATACACAAAGTCACGTATGTATCTCGTGTATTCTGATAAAATATATTACTAGATCATGAATAAAGTCTAATTAAGAATAATTACTATTTTTTTTTTATATATATAGCTAGTTTGGATATTAAGAATTATAAAAATATACCGAGCCCTAAATGCATTTTTGTGTGTATTGACGGTGCTCAATTCCAAGCATGTGTGTTTGTTTGGAGGTTTGGATTTTGAGTTAGGATTTAAATAGTAAAAATTTTGAATTTGAATAATTGTATGATGTGATATAAATAGGTGTTGATACGATATTTTGAATGTAAAATTGATTTTTAGTATAATATAAAAAATTAAAAATAGGTGTTTGATTTGATATTTTTGAGGAAAAAAATTGGATAAATAGTGTAAATCTAATCCAATTCCCCGAACAAACACACTACAGAGGAAGTGCCAAGTGCAACATATTTCCATACTTGTTGGAGGCTTTCCATATGGAATTGGTTGGCGGTGTACGTGAAAATTTATTATTATTATTATTATTATTATTATTATTATTATTATTTTACATTTTCTGTTGTTTAATTCATGTGTATGTCTGCCTTACTTCTGTTTTACTTGTGATTACTTAAATGACCTTATGCAATTGGTTAAATTAGGCTTATAGATTTAGTGGCCATTGTCAACAACATAGATTTTCTTAAATAATTTGATTGTGGATTTTGGTTGTGAGTTTAGTGTTAAATTTGAAGTTGAGAATAGTAGAATTTTAAATTAAAATAATTGTTTGAGATAATATTAATAAATATTGTTGCATGATATTTTACCTATTAAATTAATGTTTAATATAATGTTAAAAAATATTATATATATATAATTTTAAAAAAATTACTGTATAGTTGAAATTTGGGTGAAACTCAACGTATTGGCTTGGTTCACCCAACTTAATTTGTAGGTTGCGATTCCCAAAATTAATATTAAAAATATAAAAGGTAAACTATTTTTTTAAGTCTAGTAACTGGACCTCTTTATCATTTTAGTCCCGTAAGTAGAGCTGTCGCAAACTAGTCCCATAAATGAAAAATTTTCGTTGTTTTAGTCCTCCGGCGCCGGAGATGCCAGCGTGGCTCGCCGGATGTGATGTGTCCGCCAGGTGTCCCACCAAGTCAGCGACACATGGCGGACACGTGAATTTTTTTTAATTTTTAATTTTTATTTTTTTTAATTTGATCAAATAATAAAAATAAAAGAAATACAAATAAAATTTAAAATAAATTAAATATAAGTTTTAAAAAATAATTAAAAATAAAAATAATAATAAAAAAATCCACGTGTCCGCCAGGTCAGCGACACCTGGCGGACACGTCACCTCCGGCGAGCCACGCGGGCATCTCCGGCGCCGGAGGACTAAAACAGCGAAATTTTTCCACTTATGAGACTAGTTTGCGACATGCTCCACTTACGATTACGGAACTAAAATGATAAATGGTTCAGTTACGGGACTAAAAAAACAGTTTATCCAAATATAAAATATTTTGTATAGAAAACAAAAAGTAAAAAAAAATTCAAATACTCATTAAAAAAAATTCAAATATTCAAGCTTAAAATTATACTACATATTTTATATTTTTAACAAGTACCATATATTAAAAATTAATTCATTCAAAAATATTGGGTGAACAGAGTCATTATTAACCTCTTAAATTACGTTAAATATGTTTGTTTGAAGATTTTATTTTATTTTTTGGAAAATCATAATTCAATTAATTATTTTTTTTAAAAAAATATTAAATTAAATTTTTATTTTTTATATTATGTTAAAATTTAATTTAAATTAAAAAATATCGCAGTAATATATATATTTATATCAATCAAATAATTATTCAAATTAAAAATTTTACTATTTAAAATTTAAATAAAAACTCAAACACACACCTCCATTGGATGGAATTGGATTCTCCCGAGATCATGGAGGAATATATATAATATATAATATATACATATGTTTATATATATTATCTCTATATATGCAAAGAATATACCATTCGAGAGTTCAATACCATTTAACTTTAGCAATCACTCGAATATCTTTATACTTTAAAATGATCGTTCCGCCGTATATTTGAAAATATATAATTATAGTTATAGTAATAATTTTATTTGGAAAATTCATACTTCCTCCGCCCCGAAACTAAATATCAATTTGCTTTTTGCACGTAATTTTAGAAATATTAGTATTATATTGAAATATAGTTGATATAAAGTAGAAATAACTAAAATAACCTTATTAGTATGTGTGATATAAAGGTAATGACATTTGTGTAATATATTGTAAGTTGTAAGGGAATTTGTAATGTTAAGTAGATAGCACAGTTACTAAAAAAAAATTGATACTTTGTTATGAAACGGACTAAAATGGAAAAATAAATACTTTGTTATGGGACGGAAGGAGTATTATTCTTAGTATTTGTTTGTCTGAAGGTTTGGATTTTGTGTTGAGATTTGAATAGTACAAATTTTGAATTAGAATAATTATATGATGTGTTATAAATATGTGTTGATGTGATATTTTGGATGTAAATTAGTTTTGGAAAAAAATCATTTTTGGTCCCAATATAACCAAAATTCATCAATTTTGGTCTCAATATAAAAATTTTATCAATTTTGATCTCAATATAACAAAAACTCATCATTTTTGTCGCAATATAACCAAAACTTATCATTATTGGTCTCAATATAAGATTTTTATCAATTTTAGTCCCAATATAACCAAAACTCATCATTTTTTGTCCCAATATAATCAAACTTTATCTTTTTTTGTCCTACCGTCAACAAATCGATGGAAAATGTTGACGTGGACTTGCAAGATTGTGCAATTTCTTCAAATATAAATATAATGTTTGATTTCTTTTCACGTCAGCATTTTTCGTCAGTTTGTTGACAGTGTGAGACCAAAAAAGATAAGGTTCGATTATATTGGAACAAAAAATAATGCGTTTTGGTTATATTGAGACTAAAATTGATGAATTTTGATTATATTGAGACTAAAATTGATACAAATTTTATATTGTAACAAAAATAATAAGTTTTGATTATATTGAGACCAAAATTAAAAAAATTTTATATTTGGATCAAAATTGATGAACTTTAATTATATTGGGACCACATACAATTTTTTTCCAATAAAATATTATTAGTATTATTTTTTAATTTATTACAAAATTTAGAAACCCTTTAAAATGTAACGAAAATAATAATAATAATACTAATAATAATAGTTGGATCAGAAAGAATACTTACGCAAGCATGATAATAATAATAATAATAATATTTTTAGTTGGATCAGAAAGAATACTTACGCAAGCATGAAGCTGTCTCCGACCCAATTGATTCCTTGTTGCAATCAATCAATTATTTCATTTGTGCCCACCACACCCTTTGACTTTATTCTATTTTTGTTCTAAGAATCTCTACATTAATTATGAATACTAATTACTACGTGCATCGTCATCTATCACAATTCACACCACCGATTTGTTTATTTTTAATCTTTACATAAATTTTTATTACTTGGATTCTGTATTTTTTTTTTTCTTATATAATATAATATTCTCTGTCATGTTCTAATGCACCTCAATAAATTTAAAATTAATACTTCATTTATCTTATAATAAAGTATGTATTTATTTTTATTTTTAATTCGTTTCATAACAAAATATTTATTTTTTTTAGTAACTGTACTATCTGCTTAACATTACAAATACCCTTACAACTTACAATATATTACACAAATATCATTACATTTGTTTCACACATACTAATAAGGTTATTTTAGTCATTTTTACTTTATTCCTACTCTATCTCAATATAATAATAATATTTCTAAAACTACTTGCAAAAAGCAAATAGTTATTTACTTATGGGACAGATAGAATATTATTTTATTAATTATTAAAAATATGTAAGAGGTTTTAATATTTTGATATTAGTATATGATCACTTCTATTAAAAAAATATATTTTACTAAGACATACGAAAATATTAAAAAAAATAATTTTAGTTGACACGAGAGAATATCCAATGCTATTTAAATAAACATTTAAAAATCTTAGATGCTATTTGTACCCCGAGTAGTATAATAATAATAATAATAAACCCATGAGTTCATGTTTTTTTTTTAAAAAAAAAAAAAAAAATTGGATTGTTTCTCTCTCTTTATAGTATATAAAGGGAGTGAGGAAGTTGCCAACCAATTTATAGAAATGCAATATGATACTATCGAATTTATTTTCATTTGGCCGGGAGACTTGTCCGGGACTGGAATTGGAGTCAGACTAGCTACTGCTTCTCCTTCACCGCAGTGAGTTTTGCTCCATATCCAGTCCTGGTTAATTCTCCCGCTGCCATTTCCGGCTTTCATTCTTCTTGTTAGAACCGAATCTTAGAATGGTAACAAGCTTTTGCATTTGAGAATAATAAAACTTTGAATTAAATACATATTTGATTTAATACAAATAAATATTTGATACAATATTTTAAATAAATTTTAAAATGTAATATTAAATAATTAAAAAAAAAAATTGATTTGTTTAGATTGTGTTTTCTAAACGTGACTAAGCTTACCATATATGACAGGTGATCTGAGCCGTCGGGTGTTTGAACCCATGACTTCACGGTAACAAGTCCAACCCCTACACCACTAGACAATCCCTTACGGGACTGTTTAGGTTGTGTTTTTGGAAGGAGAGAGGAGGAATTGGGGGAATAAATTATGGAGTACATGTTTTTCCATAAGACAGTTTTTTTTTTTTTTGTTTGGTTTATTTGATTTCAATTTTTTTGCAATATAATTATTATGATTGTCTATGATTTTTTTTTCTTCCACAAAATTTTATATTTAAATAATTGTTTTGAAAAAATTAATTTTATTTTTATTTTTATTTTTCTATATACTTGTTTATATTTAGGTATTTATTAATTTTAAATTAGAAGAATCAATAAAACTATTTCTAATGTATAGATTATTTTTCATAGTTTTGTAATAACCAGCGGTCACAACCCGAAAATATGCATTGAGCTAGATAAATCACGATCGAACCTAATACCTTACAAACTAAACTCGAGACAAGACACACTAGAACTATGTATAATAAATAACCTAGATGCGTCCTCCTACACCACTAGTCATTCTTTACAAACATTAATTCACATGTTTTGTCTTGTTTGAATGTTCATCAAATAACATTTATATATATATATATATATTGTGGACTTATTTCTCATCGATAATATAAAACAATATCATTCAATAAAGATTGTTGATATTATTTTATTAGTTAATATATATAAATATATAAAATTTAAATATAAAATTTTAATAAACTGGATTGGGCAGATACGGCTCGACCTTTATGGGTTCGGAACAGATCGAAAATCTTCGGACATATTTGGAGGTTTAGGCACGTTTATTTTTTATCAAATTCGAATCGAATTTTCTTACACAATCTATTTTTGCCGGGTCTAGTTTGGTTGATGGACAGGACCTTCTATCTAAATGGAGTTTCAGATTTATGTGTTTGTTTGGAGGATTGGAATTACAATCCATTATTCATCCCATTTTTTCCTCCCCTCCCCCTCCCCCAAAATATCAAATCAAACACCTATTTTTCATTTTTTATATTATACTAAAAATTAATTTTACATTCAAAACATCACATCAATACCTATTTATATCCGACTATTCAAATTCAAAATTTTTACTATTCAAATCTCAATTTAAAATACAAACTCCCAAACAAACACACCCTTAGGATTTTTTTGTTTTTTTTTTTAAAAAGATTATTTTAACTTTCTTATTTTAATAATTTTTTTTTTTTTTTTTTTTTTTTTTTTTTTTTTTTTTTTTTTAATTATATTTCTCGTTGAATTGCACTGAGGTACCTTGGGTGGCCGTCGATGGCTTCCTTCTGTACCGTTATCCTATGGCGTCCCTCATCCAAACCCTATCCCACGCCCACTCGCAACACTTATACCACTGCTTACATCCAACAATTCCCTATTTCCAGCACTGCACCCCAAACCCGACGTTCTCTGCATTTGAGCAGCTGTGGTTCGGTACACAACTTCGATAGCCTCGCGGTATTTTCAGCAGCAAATGGAAATTGGTTGCAAGCGGAGACAGGTCCTTTCGAGAAATACAACGACGATGACTTCGTGGTGGTGAATTTCTACCGGTTTGTGTTTATCGAAAACCCCGCGGAAGAGGTTTCCAAACACCTCTCCTTCGTGGAGACGGAGGTATCATCGTTCTTAGCACAATTTCTTCGGAAATTTCGCCTAAATATTAATCTTAACTAGAAATCACAAATTTCGATTGCTTCTTGCTGAAATCGAAACTGTAGTGGAATTAATTGTTTCTGGTGATTTTTCCCCCTTCTTTGGTTCATATGAGAGTGAGAGGGCATAATTAGTTGCTGATTTGCATTGTGAAACCTGCGTATTGTTTAATTCAGAATTGCTCGAGATGGATATGGCGTCAGTTCTTAACTGCTATATTGTTTTCGATGCTCGATTTAGGATCTTGATTTACATGGCCGAATCTACTTGAATGAGCAAGGAATTAATGCACAGGTATTCACCTATTTCAATAGCTTCCATGGTTGTACCAATCCTGCTTTCTTAGTTTGTTTTCACAAAATTTGCCTAATTTTGTTGCACCTCCACAATTATGGCATTTACAATGGCTGTCGTGGCGATGAAGCCGAGTTTGTTATAAATATGTCAATCTATTCTCGGATGATGCTGTCTCCCTTTGTGCAGTACAGTGGACCGTCAAAAGATGCCTTAAAATATGTTGGATGGCTGAAGACAGACGACCGGTTTTCGGACATATTGGTTCAGGTCTCTCCAGCTATAAATGGTCACGCTTTCCCGAAACTGAAGCTGCGATATAAGCCATCGCTTGTACAGGCAAGGAACGAATTAATAAATACTCTATCAAGAACTGAATTGATTAAATTGTATAACACAAGGAATTTTTAACGTGAAAATTTTAAGTGTTCCAATTGAATTTAGATTGTATAGTTAGTTACCATCATTGTGCTGTTTTATGGTCTGCAGTTGGAAGAGGGCATTTCACATCTCCCTTTGCTCGACCCGTTGATGCGAGCTACACCTCTCACACCATCTGATTGGAGGAGCAGGCTGGAGGCGCGTTATAAGATTGATGATTTGTTAGATACAAAGGAGACAGATTGCATTCTACTCGATGTCAGAAATGGTACAAACCTGTTAAACCAATTGGCTGTATATTGTTGTTCGAATCTGTTTGTTTGTGTTATTTTTCATTCATGTTACGCATTTTTAAGTTTGGTAGGATCACATATACTTGAGCATTTGCGTGGCTTTTTATTTTCTATTTTTAATTTATCATTGTTTTCGAGGCGTTTCTTGCTGTTGTAACTTAAAATTAGACCAAGTGAGAGGACGACTCTAAGCAATCTGATTCTGTGCTATTCGTAATGAAATTCAATTCATCAAATGGACAAGAAACAATGAAATTATTTCCTCATATTATTGTTTCATTGTCATATATCTTTGTATCGTGTAAATCTTCGTTTACAATTAACACTCTACTTATGTTTAGCTTGTCTGCAACTTATTCGATCAGGTTATGAATGGGATATAGGCCACTTCCAGGGGGCTCAGCGTCCTAATGTAGATTGCTTTCGGAGCACTTCATTTGGCAGGTCGGAGCCAGAGGCAAGGCCAACTTCTTACATATCGTAACATCCATCGTTTTATTTGTCTGTTCTCGTCAATATTCTCTTCGTGCAGATACCTATAAACATTAATGCCCTGATCTACCTCCAGGTCGAAATCTCAGATCCTTTAGCTGCTGTTGATAGAGAAAAAACAGATATACTGATGTATTGTACCGGTGGAATACGCTGCGATGTATATTCTACAATTCTTAGGTCTTTCTCACCCCTACTTCTGTTGCATTTCCCAGTTTCCCTTCTTAGATATTGTGCTAATGTTTGATTAGTTCTTGCGCAGACAACAGGGGTTCAAAAGATTGTATTCTCTGGAGGGAGGAGTTTCTCATTATCTCGAGAGCGAAGGTTGCACGGGATGGGTCGGGAATCTGTTTGTTTTCGATTCCCGTCTTTCTCTACCGCCTTCGACCTACAAGCCGGATGACTTTTCTGAGACAAGCAGAAACCAAAACATCCCCCATTCCTTCGCCAAATGTTACGTATGTGGCTCCCTAGTTTCTGAGCTCAGGCATCGCAATTGCGCGAATCTTGATTGCAACCTGCTGTTCTTGTAAGTTTGTTCGGGGGTTCGGATTTTGTGTTTGAGTTTTGAGTAGTAAAATTTTGCATTAAAATAATTATTTGATGTGATATTTTGAATGAAAAATTGATTCAAGAAATTAGATAATTGATTCGACGTCTTTTAAGGGGAAGATTTTCGAGGACCAGTAGAAATCCTTCAAAATCCTCCAAACAAACGCGCAATTCTTGATACATTCAAATTGCTTCTGATAATCTCTAACAGATGATCTATAGTAATAGTGAGTTTCCGATTGAAGAGTTGTCCTATGCATAAAGTCCATATATCAAAGATTGAGTCGATAAGTTGTCCCATGATGCATATATTATCTTGTCGCTTTACATGCTCTAGTTATTTGCTGGTTTTGTGGATATATGACATACTTGTTTGGTGCAGGTGCTGCTTGAGCTGTGTTGACGACTTGAGAGGATGCTGCTGCATTGCATGCACATCTGCTGCAAGGCTAAGGCCTGTGCTGACCGAGCACCGGAGATACCAGAAATGGCATGTCTATCGAGATATTGAGCTGCAGGGTAGGCCAAAAACTTAAAAATCCCGGGGATTATTGTTTTGGAAGTTCACGTAGAAAGCTGGCTGGCAAATCGATCGAAAAGGTAGAGACTTTGGGCATGTCTGGTCTTTGAGCTCAGTTATTCCCTGAAAATAAGAACACATTCAAGATAAGACCGAGATCGAAAAGATTGAAAAAAATCATTCGATCACAGCCATGGATTAAGGGTATTTTTTATTTAGCTTTTTTGTTTTAATGCTCGAGTCTATATTCTAAGATGAAGGATTTGAGAACCTCGAATGAATCAGGTTTTGTATGTACTGTACTAAGTAAGGGTTCTTGGTTAATATGTATCGTTTCTCCTCCTGATTGTGCACTGTAGTTTCAATTTTAGAATATGTGAGGTTATCTTTTGCTGATTTGAAACGAAGTGTTATTTGCCTTTTTGTTTATAGGAGTATTTAATGTGTTGTTTTACTAACAAAATACTGCTAATCAAGTTGTCACGGCGCCTTTTTGTGGCGCGGCGCCTGTGGACCGCCATGACGACAATATGGCGATCACGGTGTACGCTTATAAAACTTATATATACATATTATATCTTATATAAAGTTAATGTTTATAATTAATTTTATAGTAACAAGTTAAAAAAATACAAAATAACTAACAAATAAAATTAATAAATGATTTAAAAATTAAAATAATAACTGTAAAATAAATAATAAATAATAATGTAATGTACTAAATAATAATATTATAAAAATAAAAATAGCCCTAAGCAGATAACAAAATAGAGTAAAGTAGAGCTGTTGCGCCATGGAATGAAGCAGTTGTACTCAATGGACAACCATGGCTAGAACGGGAGAGAGTAGAGGAGAGCGGGGGAAAGAAAGAGAATGACAAGTTAAATTCAATCGAGTTCAAGATTTACGGGTTGAGGTCGATACGGTTTGGGGGCTAGGCTGAAGATTTACAAGGCTCTGGACTAGCCTGCCTAGTGCCATGGCATTGCCGTGGCGTTGTTGAGGCATCGCCACTGCATCGCTAAGGCCGACCCTAGCCACTTTGTTTAATATGGCGATGCGAGGAGTCTTGGCGCTCTCCAAAAAGCGCTAGGATGCCATGGCGACGCCATTACAACAGTGCTGCTAATATATTTTTATTGAAAACTATAGAGACAAATAGTGTTATTTTCAAATTGAAGTTACAGCTAAACAAACTCTCATGGGTCTATTTTCTAATATGTGTGCAAGTTTTTGGATCATGAATAGGAGTTTATTTGATGTTAATTTACACCCTTAATGAAGTAAAACATGTGCAATTTCTATATAAAATATAATTTTAATAATAATAAAAAAGTTATTATGGTTTTATTTAAATAGAATTTTTTTAAGGTTTTTGGAATTATGGATGTTCGAAAAAAAAAATAAAATTATATTTGATTTAATATTTTATGAAAAAAAAATAATATCAAATGAGTGAAAGTGTATTTGTCTAAACAAATCCTAAATAAACAGCTATTATTTCATTATTATGTGATTGACCGTTAAAGAAGTGGCTGATATTCCAGGGGCAAGGAACTCCTTTTAAACTTAGCCTAAACGTTAATATATAACATCTCAAAAATACTAACGAAATGAACCAACCCAAACAAATGGAGGGAATGCCATAAATCGGAAATCAAGCCAGCAATGGTCGCTCGTTTCTTCGCCTGCGACAGCAATCAATGAAACTCTGGATGCTTGGAGCTGCAATAATCATAGTCTCACGCCACTCGGAACATGCCACTTCGTTGGCAGAGGCTATTGAGCAGACAACAATGGCGGTTCCGCTCCAATCGAGTGTTCTCAATAATCTCGCCGGAAGCCTCGCCGGAGTTGCGCGCTTCCAACAGAAAGATCACCGAATTCGTCCGAAACGGCCGGCTCCAAGACGCCAGAGTACTGTTCGATTCACTGCCTCACAGAAACACCGTCACCTGGAATTCAATGCTCACCGCGTACGTCCGGCGAAGGGAGATCGCGAAAGCGCGGAAACTGTTCGACGAAATGCCTGAAAGGGATATCGTGTCGTGGAATCTGATGATTTCGGCGTATGTATCGTGTCGGGGGAGCAAGTATTTGGAGGAAGCCCGACACCTGTTCGACGAAATGCCTGAAAGGGATTTTGCATCCTGGAACACTTTGATTAGCGGTTTTGCCAACAATGGAAGAATGGACGATGCACTGAGGCTGTTCGACTGTATGCCTGAAAAGAATGTCATCTCCTGGAACGCAATGATCACAGGTTTCCTCAACAATGGCGATGTTAAGAGAGGCTATGACTTCTTCACAAGAATGCCTAGTCGGGATGCCGCGTCGCTCTGCGCTCTCGTGTCGGGGTTGATTCAGAACGGCGAATTGGATGAGGCAGAAAATTTGTTGTTTAAATATGCGAAGATGGGGAATAAAGAGGGCATAGTGTATGCTTGTAACACTTTGGTTGCGGGATATGGTCGACGAGGAAGGGTGGAGGATGCTCGTCGGATTTTCGATCAGATTCCAGTCGATAGCAGCAACGTTGTGTCGTGGAATTCGATGATTATGACGTATATGAGAGTGGGCGATACGGCGTCCGCGAGGGAGTTGTTTGATCGGATGGAGGATAGAGATACGGTGACGTGGAATACGATGATTAGCGGTTATGTTCGTGCGTCGGACATGGAAGAAGCTACGAAGCTTTTTTGTAAGATGGCGACTCCGGATGCTTTCACGTGGAATTCGATGATTTCGGGGTTTGCTAAAGAGGGAAGGATGGACATCGCGTTCGATTTTTTCGCAAGAATGCCGTCGAAGACTCGGGTTTCTTGGAACACCGTCATCGACGGATTCGAAAAGAACGCCGATTATCGAGGAGCTATCTTAGCTTTTATCGAAATGCAGGCGGAGGGAGAGAAACCGGGGCGTCACGCTCTATGTTCCGTACTTAGCGTTTGCGCCGAACGCACGGCTCGGAGTCTCGGCGCTCAAATTCATCAAATGGCGACGAAATTGGTCATTTTCGACGTGCCGTTGAGCAACTCCCTCATCACAATGTACGCAAGGTGCGGGGCGATATCCGACGCAGAGACGGTATTCCGGGAGTTGAAATGTCGGGACGACGTGATCTCGTGGAACGCTATGATCGGAGGGTATGCGTCTCACGGCTACGCAAAGGAGGCGTTACAACTCTTCGAAGCGATGAAGTCGCGCAAAGTGACCCCGACTCACGTCACGTTTGTATCGATTTTGAGCGCATGCGCTCGCGGAGGTTTGGTGGAGGAGGGGCGATTGTATTTTCGATCGATGGCGCGCGATTTCGGAATCGAGCCAAGAGTCGAGCATTATGCGTCACTCGTAGACGTTGTCGGTAGGTACGGGAAGGTCGAGGAGGCAATGGGTATAATCGAGTCGATGCCGGTTGAGCCCGGCAAGGCGGTTTGGGGTGCGTTGATGGGCGCGTGTCGGGTGCATGGAAATGTGGAGCTCGCGAGAACCGCCGCCGATAAGATGATGAGGCTCGAGCCGGGAAGCTCGGGGCCTTACGTCTTTTTGTACAATATGTATGCCGACGCCGGAAGATGGGACGACGCGCTAGAAATAAAGGCGAGAATGGCGACGAACGATATTAGGAAGGAACGGAGCTTTAGTCGGGTCGACTCCGGCGGGTTGTGAGGTTTTCCGGCGCGGCGAGTTTGATCGGACGGTATAAGAAATATGTTGAATCGAATCGAACCATTGAATCGAACATGTTGGGTTAGTTATGGGTGCCGGGTCAATTTTGTGAAAGTGTAGGGGCTTTGGTTATATTAGTTAAAATAGGGGGACTGGTTTGTAATTTCGTATAAATTGAAGTATTTATTAATTAACGAAGGATATGAGAATGAGGAGAGACGGAAGTAATCTGACGCTTTTAGCCTCCATTGTCGATTCGCCGGCGGATTCTCATTTCCGTGGCCGAGTTTCGCTGCCGGCCGCCGCTGTCCCTCGTTCTCACTGCTTCGAACTGGTTTCGATTATGAAGGTGTGGATATTCGTATTGTTGGTGTGGTAGCACGCGAGCTGTAACGTTTCTTACCCTAATTCCGACATGCATCGCGACGAGGAGAAGAAGAGGAGGAAGAATAGCGACGAACAGAGACGGTTCGAGTTCTGTGAGGTTTGCCGATTGAACCAAAACCAAGGTCGACGGCACAAATTTTTTCCGAGTCACAAAAGTTCGCTTTCGAAGTTCCTCGCGCATTTCCAATCGAAGCTCTCCGATGTCAAATTCTTCCTGAAAACGCCGATGCCTCTAAGGCCTGAGCACGCTCACCAAAACCGCCTGTGGTGCGTGTTCTGCAATTGTGACATTGAGGAGCGTGATAGCGCCTTCGCTTGGTCGGTAACTTGAGGAATTTGTCTGTTTGATCCATAGTTATGCGTATTGGAAATTGAGTTGCTTATTGCGCTGATGTTACCTTTATTCGTTTTGCGTCTGATTTTTTGTTGAGGTGTTCAGTGGCAATGCGATCAACCATTTGGCAAGCGGCGAACATTGGAAGAAACTGAAGGAGTTCATGTGGAAACATGGAGGTGGAACCGATCAAATCGATTTGTTTCGGATAACTGAGGCGGATTTCGCCAAGGTATATCTAAAAATTACAGATAATTGTTTGTAGGTGCTCTGTTTCTTCTTCGTTTTCTCTCTGGTTTTGCTAGTATTCCCAATTTGTAATAATTATGACTTATTGTTAATTGCTTCCTGTAGTCTAGGTAAACTTCTAGAATATAACATCATGAAATAGGTCTCTGATGTAAATGAACAAACATTGCATCTCTAAGCTTGTTTTGAGTATGAGTTGAGGACAGTGTATGTTATTCTGATTTACTATAATGATGAAGAGCAATAGTGCATAAGGATGATCCCAATTGTAATGAGGTGCAAACTCATTTTAGAATTTGGTCACATTTAAAGCTCTTTAAGATATGCATTTGAAATGTTTGGGGCTTTTGCTTTTGAGGTTGAGTTAGGAATAGTAAAATTTTGTATTATAATAGTTATTTAATGTGATATAAATAAATGTTAATACTATATTTTGAATGTAAAATGATGTTTAGCATGATATAAAAATAAGTGTTTGATTTAATATTTTTTGGAGGAATAATAGAGATCTTCCAAAATCCCCCAAACAAACACACCATGATTCTTGAGGTTTTAGGTATGGTGTTTTTAGACAGGTCTGTTGCTATAAATTATTATGCTCTTGATCGATGCAATTTCTTTTCATTTTGTGTGCTGGTTTATAGGACGTCGTTTTACATAATGTTTTTTATTTGGCATCTTCTGGTGATGTGTGTCTTAGTAACCTTTAATACTAAGCTGCTGTTATTTCTTTCTGTTGCAGTGGGAGAGAAAGTGCAGCTTGTTGAAGAAAGAAACTGCCAAAGGGGTATCCATTGGACCTGTCGTTGGACCGTCAAAAAATATCCACAAAGAACCGAATGATGAAAATGTTGATAGTTTTCGTAATAGTAGTGTTGAATCTTTTAATTCGCACATTGCAAATGATGTTGTGCCTTTACATAGCTATACGAATGAGGGAATTCAGGTATCCACATCTTCTGTATCTATGGCTGGCCCATCTTTACGCGACATGTCTGCAGCAATACAAGTGGGAAATCTACGGGGCTTTAATTCACCAGGTTTCATCTCCGTAACTATATGTTTTTACCTATCTACAAACATGGCATTATTTCCGTGTTCTAGTTAACTTGCTAATTCTGTTATTCCTTGCATGCCACATAGGTGTTCTTGCTACCAACGGTTCATCATATGATTATCCTAATAATGGATCTGTAAGTTCGGTTATTCGCCTAACCTATTAGATCCCGACTGTTCTTCTTTTCTCCCTTTGCCTTGTCCGCGGATTTTGCAGACATTTATTCAGTTTCTTGTAGTCGCAATCTTTGTTATTCTTTGTTTCCGTATATATTTCTCGAGCAGGCCCTCTTAGGCGAAAGAAGCAGTAATGGACAAAGCATATCTCCAGGTAATATGTTAGTTTTTCACTTCTCTGCTTACCTGTTTAATGTTTCGAGCAACTTCAAAGATTTATTCTTATTGTTTGCACGAGCACGCGGTTTCTATCCTTTTTATTTTGTACAGGTTTGGTGCATTTGACGCAAATTTCAAATCGAAATCCAACTGAAGGAAACGTTCACACCGGAGCTCCCCCTCCTTGGTTCGATGCAACAAATGGAAATCAGCTTGATCTTGCAGGGAATCAAGAACCCGGAAACCTAGTCTCTTCTAAAGCGAGGAAGGCTTCGAATTTAAACATGAAACGAGTTGGGGCTGCTTGGGCGGAGAAAAGAAGACGAGAGATGGAGTTGGAAAAGAAAGGTGAACTTGTCGGCAACAATTTTGACGCCAACTGGCTCCCTAATTTCGGTAGAGTATGGCAAACTGGCACGAGAAAAGAATCTAGGAAAGAATTCCGGATGGAGAATAAAGCTTCTCTACAAGCAGATAATCAGTCTGAGACTCCCGTCCGATTACAGCCCTACGTCAGCAAGCGAATGGTAAATCATTTAATATATCATCATCCTCTTCTCATTTTAATCAAAAGATTGTTTGCTCTTCCCCACTTGCAGCGCGGTGATACAACCAATCTGTTACCTGATAATTCATCGTTGAAGGATGCAATCGACGAATAAGCTAGCGTACCCACGGTGACCTTCTCATCCCTTCTTTATAGTTCTGCATTTTATGGCCTATATATGTGTGCTTTTGGTTGTTCGATCCATCAAATTTGTAGCTCACTCTTGGGTTATGTCGGCTTTGACTTCGTGCAGTTTGTTATAGATCTACATCTTGGCTTTACATTGGTTTTTTTGAAAGATGCATAAGGGAATGAAATGTTAGTATGATTTTAGTGCTGAGATTCTAATGGGAATTTGATTCCATCTAAACTATCGTTCTAAAGATTTCATAAAGTATCACATTTAAACTACAAGATAGAATTGAAACAATGTAAGTACCGAACCAGTGATCAACTCTGTGTCCGGTTGTGCTTGAACCCTTGCCTAAGCTCGGCTCTAGATTTTGCTACCTCGACAAAAATAACTCGGCCATCCAGAAACTGCAAGTTGAGCGATCGATCAATCAATCATCATGATGTTGACGTGATGTTTTAAATGCAAAATTAATTTTTAATATAATATAAAAAATAAAAGCTAAAAATTTTGATAGAATGTTAGGATTTTGAAAAGATCTCATATTCTTAAAGAACATAAATACCATACCCAATTAGATTGACAGCTATTACCATAAAACCAAACTCTAAAAGAACATAAAAATGTAAAAACTTGAAAAGAGTTACCAACCTTGCCGTGCATTCCTTCGATTGCTTTATTAGCTTCTTCCTCTGTTGTGTATCTTACAAACGCAAAGCCTCTTGGCCTTTTTGCGATGTTGTCCATCACCAAGTTTACTACACAGTTTCCAAATCCATTTTCAGAATCTATGGAAGTCACAGCTGAATTCAATTTGGATATATATTCAACTAGTGCACACAACATATCTGACCTTCTTCAAGCTCCCCAAATATTTCGAATGCTTTTCTCAAGCTTTCTTCAGTCGTCCGGAACGACAGACCTTGAAACAACCATGGCGCAACCGATCATTTCGAAATGCAGTGCGAAATTTATGGTGAAAATCAAGTTGCCATGAATTCATTCATAGAGTTGTTTTTATCAATGCAAAAAAAAAAAAAAAAACAATTAAAGCGTAGAAATGCCTCAGTTACGAGATGAAGAGGAAATTCAGATAAACTATTGAATAATTTAAATTTGATGAAGTTGTTGCAGGATAAACTAGAAGCATCTAGAAGAAAACTCTGCGAATAATCTCATAATGATGGCTAGGTTCAAAACGAGTTTATCCAAGGCTGGAAGCTACCACAGAATTACAGACGGTTGAATTATCAACCGCAAATAATGAGAGAATAAATCAGAAAAAATAGTGGAAGAGAAATCACTAACCGCTAACGAAGAGCCTCGTCGATGGATTGAATCCAAATCTCGAAGTCGAAGAAGAAGAAGAGCGACATGGCGCTACGAGCAAATCCAATCTTCGGCTGTACGTCTGAGCGGAGAGCGAGGAATGGAACCGTCTTCTATATTCAATTACTGTTGATTTCGCCGACGGAGATAGGCGCGGCGGCGGGAGAAACCGCTCCGGAATAACATGGCGGCCAAGCACGGCGGCGGACATTTTCCTCCGGCGACTGTGATGTTGCGTCGGTACCTTTCAACTGAAGTTCGCCGAGAAGCAGCAGGCAGGCTGTTGCGACTTCGGCACACATATATATATAAATTTTCTTTCCAATCCTTCAGTTTTTCAAAATAACAATTATGCCCCCTCCAAATTTCCACATTAGGATTCATAGAATCACTCTAAAATCAAATACACAGTTGATCATAGAAGCCTTAGAACTCCACATTTTGACACACAAATTTTCACAGGATTTTCACTTCAGTATAGCTACATACATACATACAAATATATATATATATATGAAGTGGTAAAATGTGAGGAAGGAGAGTGCTCTTACATGGCGATCAAGAATCAAGATGTTCTACGTACAATACACACACATAGGCACTGCTAGCTTAGCTAGAATGTCCCAAAGTCGCTACTAATTATGCGCTGGACTAGACGACGAGTCACCTCGGTTAATTCGCTTTTTCCTGTATCTCCACGCCACTTGAATTTGTCGGGCAGCTCGTCCGCGCCAATAATGTGACTCGTACCTAAAGAGCACAGTTAAAAACCGTATATTGTAGCATTATAAATCCGTTCGACATTAGATTTATTGCATCTTAGTAAACCTGCGGTATAAGATGGGTGTGAAATTACCGTATGGCGCCCTGCACTCGCGGGCTTCGCAAGAATCTTGCGAAAAGACTGGTCACTTCTTCGAGATCTGAGGATCGGAGCACAAACACTTCGACGTTTGTCGTGCATTTCACAGTCCTGTTGCTTAGTAACCCATGGCCCGGGAGTCTTCGGCTTCCATCTAGAGATGAGAGGCAGGACAATAGAAATGAGAGTTTTTACTGTATTGAGATATTTTAGATTTATATTTAGTTTAATATTTGTTTAAATTAATTTATTTTAGATTTGGTATATTTAAATTATAACTTGATTTTATACACAGATATGGTTATGGTGCCTATATATATAGACTCTTATTTTGATGATCAATAACAATGCAATTTTTGAGTTTCCATAAAATATTTCTAACATACCGGAAGTGAAAGATGGATTTGGGAAATAGGTATGGGCTGAGGTTATTACCTTTATTTACGGAAGAATGTTCCAAGCACCATGTGAGGAGTTCTTCGCCGCAAACATCCCCTTCGGACAACAAGACTACGTTTTGATCTTCCCCGATACTTTCCATCTTTCCCCGGATTATAAACACCATTTTGTCGATAAGACCCCCGCGGAATAAGATTTTACTGCAGTTGATGTATGTTTTTGTCCTCAGCCGCTCGCATATAGCATCTATGACAGGTTCGTCCAACAGCTGAAAGATTCGGACCTGTGGTCGGAAAGCACAAGAAAATTCATCCCATATTTTTTATTTTCCTTAGGAAATATCTTGTGTCACTAAAATGTATGCTAAAACATTTAAGTACATGTTCTAAGTGAGAGTGAGTAATAATTATTAGGGTAAACTGATTTTTTAATCTCGTCTAACTAGATTTTTTATCATTTTAGTCCTGTAATCGTAGTTTGTCGCGAACTACTCCCGTAAATGAAAATTTTTAGCATTTTTAGTCATCCGGTGTCGGAGATGCCTACTTGGCACCCACGTCCCCCGCCAGAAGACACGTGTTTGCAGTGAATTTTTTTGTTTTATTTTAAATTTTTTTATATATTTGCTATTTAGTCTAATTGGACCAAACACACGCACAAAAAAAAAAAGTCCGCTCGGTATTTCTGACCTAGAGGACACGTGTCCTCCGGCGAGCTATGCGGGTGCTACGTATGCATCTCCGACACTAGAGGACTAAAAAAATGCAAAAATTTTCCCATACGGAACTAGTTTGTGACAGTTCCGGTTATTACTTTTTACTAAAATGAGAAATGAAGATAACTTTTTATGATGCGAAAACAGAAAATGAGTATTTATTTGAATGATATATTATATTTGCAGCAATGCTTACTTTCTTGATGAATTTAAAGAGATGCCTCCTAATGTCTCTTTGAAGGTCTTCAGGTAAGTTCTCCATTAGCTTTTCTTCATTCACTCCTCTTGTGGCTGCCCAATTAAAACGTTCTGCATCTCGAACTTGTCTGAATGGAAAAAAGTATCGGCATTTCACTATGTTAATCTACTCAAAGTCGACCACAAGATAAACTTATATTCCATTGAAATGAATAAAACTAAAATGTAAACTGAAAAGGCATCATCACTTAGCAAGTTGATAATAGAACCTTCTGAGATTTTCAGGCAAGCGACGATGACTCATCCAAAGCTCAACATCCCGGCGTCTTAAAGACATTTCTAACCCCCTGAGAGCAAAGATATGCAATATTTTAAGTTAGTCGGAGCTAGTAGGCCTTTGACTGAGTCTTTACAGATTAAGTTTTCTTAAGCATTATTCCCTACAAGAGTATCTTACTTTATCTTTTTTCAATTTAACAAGTATCTAACTTAAATGGAATAAAATTATTTTAAGTAAATTATGATGAGATTCGATTTTATTTGTGCAATGAAAGAACATATGTGAACTCCAACATATATCTAAACTTTAGACTTGAAGCTTTTCAAGTAAAAACTCAATCATTTCTAAGATTGGTTATTTCTTTATTTCCTTCCTTTTGTATTATTATTATTATTTTGAGATATAATATATATTTCGTCTTTTTGTTTTTTCTTTTTTGTATCTTTGTCCCATTTCATTCCCGTATTTTGATTATTTTATTCTTCTTCGAAGGTCTACCCATGAAGAGAATTCTACTTAATAATTTTTGCCCGATATGTCTATTAAGTTCCCCGCATTCTACTTTAAGTGTTCTAGTAATATTAAGATTTTTAAACCCTTTGCAAGTTCTTGCTTCTACTTCTACTTCCAAAGTTTTAAATCACCTCTGGCTCTAAGGTACTTAAAGAGCTTACTGAATTTCTTTAAATAAAACGATATTTCAATAATTTACTTATAATTTTTTGTTTTCTTCTATTACTATTTGCTGACCATGAACCCTTTTTTTTAGTCTTTTTAACAAACATTTACATTTAAATTCTTTAGAAAGAATCTCACTAATATTAGAAAATCGTAACACTTAATATGAAACATTATCTAATGTTTTTGTGATAAAAAAACTCGGAGTTTTTTTATTATCTTCATATAGCATAGGAATAATTGAAAATAAAATAAAGTATGGTAGGTAATGTTGCTTTCAATAAAAAAGCTTATAAACTCAGCAAAAAAGAAGTGCCACAAAACAAGCTGCTTATAACTTATAAGCTCCAAGCTGTTTATTCATTTGTTTCTTGTGTTATAAGCTATTGGTCATGTTTTTTCCTAAATACTTTTGATGAGCTTATAAACTCCCCCTAGCAACCTCTTTGTTCTACTAATAATCAATCTTTTATTTTCTAACGTTGTATCAGAGTATAGGTTGTCCAAATTATCCTCACTCTGTTCAACAAGTGACAATTTGTTTTCAATATGAACAAGTATTTCAACAGTGTTGTATTATTATTTTCCTAGAAGTTCATGCATTTTCTAGAAGCCATGATTCTCGGGTCAGGAAGTAGAAGGGTTGTATTGTTGTTCCTTTGGTTCGAGTATGTTTCTACGTGTTTCTATGAGCAAGTTCAGAGGATGATGCTGACAAGAACTACCTAGTTTATTCTACTTATATTTATTTTATCAGCAAGGCTTATTGTTAACTGGATAAAGATGCATATATCGAGAGCGTACCTGCGGCCAAGAGACTGAAGAAAGTTCTGCATGTTTCCAATCAAAAGAGCGAACAGCAAGAGCCCTATGCCGATAATGGCCATTGTAAATAGAACTTCCCCCTCGTAATAACTTGGAACTTGATTCCCAGCCAAGGTGCTGATTTGCTGCGCAGGAAGCCATCACAGAAAAACATTTAGCATCAAAGTTTTCAACTCATCGTGTTAGGACAACCTTAATAGGTACCTGGAATCCCCAAAACAACGAGTAGATATATCGCGTTGCAAAGCTTTTGTGAGTGGTCAGATTAGCAGTAGACTTATAAATCCCGAAGTCATAACCACCATCTACAAAACAAGCTGACGCATTTTCGTTGTTCTTCCAGAGCTCCCATAACCTGCTCTTCTTCTCAAAGTCACCATAATCAGTTCCATGCCCACAATCGATGAATTCCCTGCACCCTTCAATAGTACTATCATTGCAGGCCTTTCGGAAGCATTTATCTACCCTCTGGATTGATGGAAGTAAAATGAGAGAAAGTCACCAAGAAGTATCATAAAACAAACACACATACATATTAAATGATTGCCTCCAAAGATTTCAACAGAAGAGAGCAGATAACAGTGTGAAACACAAAATGCTAACCTGCAGACCAAAGAGATACCAGCACGAGCCGACCACATGGCTTGCCAAAACAAAGGTGAGAAAATTTATTACGAAATGTGCCCACGCAGATTCAAAAGTGAAGCCAGTTGCAGAAGTGCCAGCCGCCAAAGGTAGAAATCTGAACAACCTGGGAATGTATTGGATGAGAATGGCTGTTCGTAGAAGATTTTTTGCATAGTTGGCACCAGATGCTCCTATTGATTCTGGTAGAACTAACAAGATAATGATCTACAAAAAGGATATCACCCCGAGTCAGTACTTTTTGCAGAAATAGTTCCCAACTTCAAGAATTCAATTAGTTTTCATGTACTAATAAAACAGTGCAAAAAAGAGCCCCTCCAAATATCATCATCAGATTTTTAGCTACACAGAATAAGTGCAAAATGCAACAGATGCTCACCTGTGGCACGGGCAGCACAACAAAGAGATCGATGAAAAAGTAGCTGCATAAATAGTTCTTTGCAATCTTTTTAGGGTCATCAACTAACTCTCCAGCTCCCACAACTGTAGACTCCGGAGCAACGTAGGCCAGCCTGAACTGCAAAATAATGACAGTGCATATTCAATTGTAAATACAAAATATTTCCTAATCAAGCTTAAGGTATATACGAAGAATCCCTGAAGTTTTTATGATGGGACATGTTTCAAAATATGTGATGCCAGATGAGTTCATGTACCTGAAGATACATATGAAGCATGTAAATTAAATCAAACAAGCTCCTCAAGACGACGATTGTTGTTGTCATGGGCCAATTTATAACTATGCACTTGTTATTCTGCATGAAGATAATATGACATTAACTCGGAAGAGTTTGTTCGCAAATGTTATAAATACAGTCGCACATCAAAAGTTCACAGACACTCGGGCATGTATCTCAGTGCGTGCTTTGTGCTGCCATTCAGAGTTTACTATGTTTTAGCTAAAACCACCACTCGTTGAAACGAGAAATCAAGCCATGCCCATGTGTACCTGCTGCACATATAGCAGAAAAAAGAAGAGCGGGTCTAAAAACACAGCGAGCAAACAAGAAATCACGAAGAACTTGTTCCAGCGCTGGACGAATTTCGAGTGGGGATTCATTACTCCAGGTATATACGGAAGCAGAAAGGAACACATCCTCTTCGCCCAACCTTTCGCATCTCCATAAAGCATATTATGAAACTGCAAATCCACACACAATGTTCTTATGATTTAAGATCACATAAATGACTTGGTTATTTTCAGAAATGAAATAAAACACAAGACACACCTTTGCATCAAGCATTTCTGCAGTCCTCGATTGCTTCTGCCGCCCCTTAACATTGTGATAATAAGTCGGACAAGTCGTGCAGTACGGATCGTTGCACATTCCCAGCTGCCCCGACCTCAAAAGGTGCTCATTCTTGGCCATGTAGCTATCTACATGCCACTCATTCCCTTCATCCTGATTAATCGAAGGATATCTCTCTACTCTTTGCTCGGTAGCTTTCTGCCGTGGTGTCCCTTGAGGAAGCTGGAAAACTACTTCTCGGTTACGGTTGGCATCCAAAGGACCACTCATCTGTATAAAGGGAGTTCTCTCTTTCCTCAAAGGTCCAGTGAATCCCACCAGATTGTGCTCCTCCCTCGATGAATCTGTAGTATTCATAGGCATTGATATCAAAGCACTCGTTGCCCTTGTTAGAGGTCTCCTGCTTCTAGATTCGTTTTGATTGTCTGATTGGAGGTACCCTGACAGCATCGGCATCTCATCTTTCTCGAAACTAGCCATTCCCAATTCAGTTCCTACACTTAGTATGCCACAGAAATCAGAAAGGCAGATACACTACCTACAGCTTCAGCAAACAATCAATCTTCCAGAGAACTATCTCGCAAAATTTCCATTCCAAATTAGGGGATTTATGGAAAAACTAAGCATCCAACTCCTGTAACCACTAAGCTACCAACAATTTGAGGAACGAACCAAGCAGCAGGCACAGTGATGAAATTAAAGATCCAGCGCATGTCATCAGCAACTGAAAAAGAAACTAAAAACGGCGAAAGGGAAATTGAAGAAAATTAGTGAAGTGATGAAATTAAACATCCAAAGCATGTCATCAGCAGCTGAAAAGGAAAATTTCCATTCCAAGTTAGGAAATTCATGGAAAACCTAAGCATCCAACTCCTGTAAATCACTAAGCTAGCAAAAATTTGAGGAAAACGAACTAATCACAGGCACAGTGATAGAAATTAAAAATCCAAGGCATGTCATCAGCAGCTGAAAAGGAAATAGAAGGAAAATTTCCATTCCAAATTAGAAAATTCATGGAAAACCTAAGCATCCAACTCCTGTAAACCACAAAGCTAGCAAAAATTTGAGGAAAACAAACAAACCACAGGCACAGTGATGAAATTAAACATCCAACACATGCCATCACCAGCTGAAAAGGAAATTAAAAACGGCGACGCAAAAAAACCAGACCTACCTGCGTGAAGCAAGAGAGCGGAACTGTCTCACCCCAACATTCGCCAAAAAAACAAAAATAAAAACAAAAACGCGGAGAAAGGACTGAGCGAGCTACTTCGACGACGGCGTCAAAGGCGAGACTGTGACTGCTTCGTGTGTTGACAACGAGGCGGAATTGGAAGGAGGAGAGAGTGGCGTGTGGAGGTAGGGGAGCTTCAGATAACCTGCAGAGTAGGGAGAAGACCTACTACAGGCGCTGACTTGTGAAGCTTCTTATTGGCATACGTAAGCGGCGAAGACCTTTATTCCGATCAAGGTCGTCGCCGGTCGGTCGGTCGGTCACGCACACATACGTGCGGGTGTGTGTGTGTGTGTATGGTGGCGTTGGAGTCCAGTTTTTGTAATTTACTTTTGCGGGGTCGAGTGGGGCCCAGTCAGAGCTTTGTAATTTTCAGAATCCGACACGGCGGCCGATCTATTCCTCATCTGTTATAAACAAATCTAACAGCTCACTAAGTAATAGAATGTGAGTGAATTTGGTAGTTACAAACAAATAATGAATAAAAATAGTCTAAGTATTTATTTATTTATTTATTTTATAGTATAATTAAAGAATATTAGTGTGTATTTACTTTGTATTTTTATAATGTTAAAATTAATTACTCTCCCCGTTTCAAAACTATAGTCTTGATTATAGATAAAAGATATTTTTGCCCAATGACAATTGTTTGTAATAATAATGAAAGAACACTGCTGTATGTATTAAGAAGGAGGGAGTATTATCAATTTGATCGAGAACATGGAGATTAAAAAAATAATACCCTCTCAGTGCTATTCTTAAGGGTCATTTGAAATTTGGTAATAAATTAAAAAATAATAGTAGTAAACATGTTTTTGATATTTTTCTCTGTAGCTTTATATAGAAAGTAATCCTTTAAATACCTTAAAAGTTAGTAATATTTTGATATTAGTGTATATTTATTTTATTAAAATAAAAATAATAATTTGAAGTGAAATGAAAGAAAATTATAAAAAGACACTTTGAAATGGGACGGATGAAGTATTTCATTAAAAGAGTAAAAAAAGAAAAAAATAATTTTAAAAATTCATTTAGTAAGTAAAAAATAAAGAGATAATATTCCTTCCGTCCACACACAAAGTAAATAATTAGTTGATAGTATTTTAATTATCGTGGATAGTTAAAAGTAGTAAAATAACATTTTTGTCTTTACTTTTTGGTGTAAAAGTAATGATGTGATGTCAAGTAAAAGTATTTGTGAAAAAAAAAACGAGGTATTTAATGAAATATTTACTTTATAATTAGACGTCCCAAAATAAAAATATATATACTTTTTAGCTAGATGGAGAAAGTATAATAAAATTAGTGAGATTTGTTATAAATAAATATCGAATGAAATATAGTTAAATATTGGGATGTGTTCTTTCTGTATTTTTTTTCCAACATATTTTTCAAAAAAAAAATATTATATATATTTATTATTTTATATTACCTATCAAATTTATTATATTTCACGTAAATAAATATATATATTTTTAAACTATTTTACATAATAAATACACCAATGATTTTTTTAAATATAATAATACAAAAACTAAAAATATGAATACATTTGATCGAGGAAAAGATTATATCAAATGGTAGTGAGTTACATGAAAAACTATCTTATATGACATATTAAACCAAAAATGTTAAAAATTCATATACAACGCAAACTCAACTATGCGTCCCAAATCGAGGGCAAACCAAAATTTGCTTTGGATTGTGAAATATATGTTCTTTGGAACTGTTGAACAAATCAAATAGCATTTTATATATTGATATAATATATATATATATATATTTATGTCAAAAGCTTGTAGTACTATTTAAATTTTGAATGTTTTATTATAATAAATAATGAATAAATTAAATACACGTAATCTATATATTAAACATATATAATGTGATTGAAATAAATGTTACATGTGATATTTAAATATAATTTTTTTAAAAAATATAATATATAAAAAAATAAAAAATATATGTTTGATTTGATATTTTTAATTTTTTTTTATGAATAATAAAAATTTAGAAAAAATTGATAAGAATACACCCATAATAGTATATAATTTGAACCGAACTCGAACTCAAATTCGACTTCGAATTTTAAGATGATTTGAGTTTAAGTTACTGTCTTAACTCGAATCATAAACGAGCCAAGTCAAAATTATACCAATAAAATATTCAAGTTGAATTCAAGAATCCTTGTTATGTCCAAATCACTGTTGGAACATAACAATATGAGTCCCTCGCCATCTTCATTTTCAGTAATAGGACACTATGCTTCGGGTAAATTTTCAGTCAAATTTATTAACTTGTAAGCTATACAATTACACTAGGTGAATTATGTATATATATATATATAAAAGTATTAAAATTTTAACCTTATGACCTCATGAGTTCATTCCATACCACATATTGTCCGAACAGTTCCAAGTTCCAACACTCTACCTTTGTAATTTTATTTTTTTATTTTCTTATTATTATTATTATTTTTTTGATGACGTGGGAACTCGTAGTCGCTACCCAAAAGTACGCACTGGCTAAACTTCCGACCGAATCTAATATTTTGTAAACCAAATTCGACGGAAAAGTCACACTATACGAACCATGTGTGGATCGGATTTATATAAATATTTGTTACCCATAAATACTCTACTGTTTGTTACTGAATCTTTTTATACATGTGACAGCGTGCCCTACAATATAGGAAAATATAATGTCCGATAGCCTTAATTTAGAGCATGTGCAATGAGAATAATAATAATAATAATAATAATAATAATAATAATAATAATAATCTTTATATATACTAAGATGATTACGTGTCTATCATACTATTCTGACTCAAGACAATATTATTTTTTTAATTACACAAAAAGGAGTTGTGTACAGAAAAAAATAAAAATAAAAATAAAAAATAAAAATAAAAAGATAAACTTTATTGTAAATGCGGCCTCTATGAATGTCCTATTGTGCATCAATTTTTCACTAAAAATGAAAAATAAAAAAAAAAAATCCAAGAAATAGGGTGAAAGGGCATCTAAAATAAACCCAATTGTATATGCTTTTAGACTTTAGAGGTTAAAAAATAGTAGAGACAGCTATACTTGGTACAGTTCAAGCTGCTTTCAAGCCACTAGATATATAGTGTAATATTATGTATAAAAATAAATAAATATATTCAAAACATACCAAATATGAAAGGACAAAAAATATCTAACACCATTAACATTCTTGTAAGGATAAATATATATATATATTTTTTTTTTCGTCTATGTGAGTATATTAGTGTAAAAAGTAGTCACAATTGTATAATAACAATGAAAAAGTAGGAATAGTTTTATAACGATATGATTATTTATGGAAATGAGACTATTGTTTTAGGATGGATAAAAATGATAAATAAGACTATATTGTATTAGAACAGAAAGAAAGTAGTATTTGATATATCCACTAACAACATTCCAATTGTGAATCTTAATAATAAAAAATAAAAAGTAATACTATTTGAGTATATATTTTTTTTAATATATTTACGAATTTTTATAATTTTACATTATTATTAAGAATCATAAAAATATTATTCCCTCAATCTCATTGAAAGAAAATTATTTTTTATTTTCGTCCATCTCAAAACAAGGTTACTATTTCCTAATTTAGTAACTGTACTACCTACCTAACATAATAAATTCCCTTTCAACTTACAATATATTACACAAATGTCATTACTTTTATATTACACCGCATTATAATAGGAGTATTTTTGTCTTTTTTACTACAATTCAATATAATACTAATATTTAAAAATTTACGTGTAAAAAACAAATGATACTCTTCCAATAGGATGGAGGTAGTTTTAAAATCATTCTTTTATTATTTTTTTTTTAAAAAATAATAGAACAGTTAAGATGCTAAATTTAGCATTTTAGTATAACAACAAATTTATATTAATATAATATAAGTGTACAATTATAATTGTCTAAACAATATATTTTATAAATATCTATTGCATTGCATGTCTAATTAATAAAAAAATATTTTGTTTTCTTATAAAATATTGTATTAAAATATTATCTCATCCGTCTACAAACTAATGTTCTATTTTTTTATTTGAAACTTTCAATAGTTATTTTTCTAATTTTCTTTTTAAACAGAATATTTATTTTTTTAATCTTAATTTATTTACCACTTTTAATCTCTACTTTATCATAGAGGAAGGATAAATTTATTTATTCATAAAAAAAAAAAAAATTATATAAAAAATCATGAAAATATACTTTCATATAATAGAAATTAGAGGAAGTATTTAACTCAAAATTCAAATCATCGCTCAAATTTCAAATAAAAGCTAATCAATCTCGAAAATTCATTGAAGTATCTCACTAATCCATAATCAAAAGTGCATATTATATCCGAAAAAAAAATAATAAAAAGAAAGAAAAAAAGTGCATATCATACTCTTATCACTCGTCATTTCATATTTGTGTGATTGAAAAAACAAATCATAAAAAGAGGGGAAAAAAAAGCTAAACCTGGGCCATATTCAAAGATAAAAATTCTAATTAGATAAGAATTGAGATTTAAAAATGTATAAAAGAAAAAAAGTAAAATATATTAGGGTGTGTTTGTTTGTCGGCGTTAGTTTTTTTAATTTAATTTTTTAAATAATAAAAAATTGAATTCGAATAATTTTTATGAGATATAAACAGAAGTTCTCTGATATAAATAGAAATTGAAATGTATAAAAATTTGAAGTATAATATAAAAAAAATAATTAATTAATTTGATATTTTTAAAGGAAAAAAAATCTAAATAGTAAAACTTACAAGAACACAAGTTTAATGTAAAAAATATTTTTAAGATTGTGTTCTTTTGTAATTTTATGAGAGGTTTTTATTATTATTATTTTTTTTCAAAAATATCATATCAAAGAATTATTATTATTATTATTATTATTATTTTTTACATTATATTATAAATTTATTTTACATTAAAAAAACGATCAAATTTAAATTCAACTCTTTACTATTTAAAAATCCAAACCCAAAAACTAAAATTCATAAACAAACACACCCTATGTTTCTATCTCAAAAAACAAAAAAAACACAGAAAATACACCCTATATTTAATTAATAAATCATTTCTGGACCCGAGAGTATTAGTTCGGGTCGGGGCAGACCCGAATTTTCTATCCAAACGGATTCTAAATATTTTTAAAAACACAGAAAATACAACCAAACATAACACACCATAAATTTAATTAATAAATAATTTCTGGATCCGAACGTATTATTTCGGATCGGGGCAGACCCGAATTGGCATGGTGGTGGTTCCTTCCATGCTATGGTGGCACGTATGAAATGCGCAACAAACTCACTCATGATACATGGATCTGCATCACTGCCTGCGTGCATCATTCCCGCTCTCTTCTCAAATCCCGGCAATCCACGCATTTCTCTATATCTATATCGATCATCTTCTTCCAATTTGATTCATACATTGTTCGATCGTCCTTAGTTGATTGGCACCGTAATTATTTGCACTGGTAGCTAGCTAGCTAGCTCTACAAAAATGGTGGTTACCGAGACAACTTCCAACTCCAATGAGCACCTCCACTCCGCCTTCGCATCCAGATACGCGCGTACTCCTCTCCCACGGTATGTATCTCGATCTATTTGTGTAACTGCTCGTTTAATTTGATTTGCGCCGGAGCTGATGTAGTGAGTGATTCGGATTGTTTTTGTGCGGCGATATTTAGGTTTCGGATTCCGGCTCAATCGATGCCCAAGGATGCGGCGTATCAGATAGTGAACGATGAGCTGATGCTGGACGGGAATCCGCGCCTTAATTTGGCTTCATTTGTGACGACCTGGATGGAGCCGGAATGCGATAAGCTAATGATGGCCTCCATTAATAAGAATTATGTCGACATGGATGAGTATCCTGTCACCACCGAGCTTCAGGCAAGTCCTTCTTGTTAATACATCGAATTTGCTATATCGTATCGACTTTTGAGTCGATCGTGAACTTTTGAATGAGGATTGCAAAGTTTTGTATCGATTTGCAAGAGAAATATCCAATTTATAAATTGAGCTTTTAGTGAAGATGAAACTAACAGATTTGCTATATAATAGATCGAATTTCCTACCTCTGTGGTGACTTTTAAGTCGATTATGAACTTTTGAATGAGAATTGCAAGGTTTTGAATCGATTTGCATGAGAACTCTCTAATTTAGGAATGTGACTTTCAGTGAAGATGAAAATACAGATCTGAATCAAAATGGCAATGTCTGAGATTTGTTTCCTGGTTGTATTGTTGGATCACTGAATTTTTCAGAACATTTTCGCATTGTGTTCAATCCAACTGTTTCTACCTTTGGAATTAGTAACGTTTTTGGTTATCCATCCTGCAGAATAGATGTGTGAATATGATAGCTCATCTTTTCAATGCCCCCATCGGTGAAGACGAGACAGCCATTGGTGTGGGTACTGTGGGCTCCTCAGAAGCCATAATGCTTGCAGGTTTGGCTTTCAAAAGAAAGTGGCAAGCGAAGAGAAAAGAACAGGGCCTACCATGTGATAACCCGAACATCGTTACTGGAGCTAATGTGCAGGTATATCTTCTAAGTTTGATCTCCATTTTCACTATTCATCTATATCATTCTTTATACATGTATGATTTCGCGAAACAATGTTAATTGATGTTGGTAGGAAACAAATCTAAATCTAAAACTCTGCAGCAGAAGTCGACGGTTCGAATACACTGTTCTAAATATCAGTTTAAGCTTCTTACCACATTTGAATTACATTGCTGCATATGAGTATCATGATTCCATAGTCCATACAATCCAATCAGGGAAATTTGGGCTTTGAAATCAATTTTCATTATCGATTTGTCTTTTGAGTCCATTCATTTCTGGTGATGTATTGCTACTGTACTAACACATAGTGATAGATTTTGAAAACAGCTGTTATGGTTCCTTCTACATTACAATTATAAGCAATAGGTGCCATTGTGTCATTGATCTCTCTTTTTTTTTTTTTTTGATCGGATAAATATTTTTTGATCGGAATCATTGATCTTGATATGCAAGTACCTGCATATGAACACAATTCTGATGCAACTTCTACGGGTTAGGTTTGCTGGGAAAAATTTGCAAGGTACTTTGAGGTAGAACTGAAAGAGGTGAAGCTAAAGGAAGGATTTTACATATTGGAACCACATGAAGCTGTGGAAATGGTGGATGAGAACACAATCTGTGTTGCAACAATTCTAGGTTCGACGATGACAGGTGAATTTGAGGATATAAAGCTCCTGAATGACCTCCTGTCGAAAAAGAATGAGGAAACTGGATGGAACACCCCAATTCATGTCGATGCTGCCAGTGGAGGATTTATAGCCCCGTTTCTTTACCCGGATCTCGAATGGGATTTCCGGTTGCCACTGGTAAAGAGTATCAATGTGAGTGGTCACAAGTATGGGCTTGTTTATGCAGGTGTTGGGTGGGTTATATGGAGGAGTCAGGAGGATTTGCCAGACGACCTTGTGTTTCACATTAACTATCTTGGATCTGATCAACCAACATTTACATTAAACTTCTCCAAAGGTAAATTTTCATATTTATTTTTATGGAATTGCTGTTTGAACTTTGCATGAGATAGTTAGTGTAAAGGGAATGACTTGAGTGCTGATTACTATATCAACATGAAAATTAGATAGAGGTTTCGATGAATATAACATGTATTGAGTTAATTGAAATCTTGTGCTTATAATTAGTTGGTAATCAGAAAAAAATGTATTAGCAAAAATAATTGTAGATTAAAATTAAGATAACTGAATATTTTGATTAAAATTAAAAAAACTATGAAATTTAAAATATGATTAAAATATATAATTATAATTTTTTTTTAAAAAAAAAAGACAAATTATATAGGACCGTCAGAAATTGAAAGAACGAACATATGACAAAGGAAATATTTTTTTAGAATTGTCTTGAGATTAATTGTTAATAAGTGATCCTAATCAGCACATGCACATAAAAATGACATGGACAATACTCAATTTCAGTTACATATGTTGAGTTAACTGAAATCATAAGCAGTAATATGTTGTTACTTCGTATATTGTATTTATAGTGTTGATTTATATTTTATGTCCTAATAGTGCTTGATTGAATGAGTGTTAGCTCATGTGATAAGGTGTCAGTTCATTTGTTATATTTATGTTATTGATTTTTATACGATGTTTCGACCACCCACAATAGCCGTTCTACGAGTGCACTATGGGTAAACTTTCCTCCACGCTAAACATCATGAAAAATCATTGATGTCGAACCTGGTTTCGATTTTCAGGCTCCTGCCAGATAATTGCTCAGTACTATCAATTCATAAGACTCGGCTTTGAGGTAAAAAGTTCATACTTAAAAAATCTCCCATTTGCTCAGACTCTAGTGATCCATTCCTTCTCCCCTGTTTTTGTTCCCTCAAGGGCTACAGAAACATCATGGAGAACTGCCAAGAAAACGCGAAGATGCTCCGAGAGGGACTCGTCAAGACAGGGCGATTCGAGATCATTTCCAAAGATGTCGGAGTTCCATTGATTGCATTCTCTCTCAAAGACAGCTCCAGGTACAGCGTCTTCCAGATCGCCGAGTCCCTCCGAAGGTTCGGATGGATAGTTCCCGCATACACCATGCCTCCCAACGCCCAGCACATCACTGTTCTTCGCGTTGTCATCCGCGAAGACTTCAGCCACAGCCTCGGCGCAAGGTTCCTAGTCGATATCAACACTGTCATCGAGGAATTGGACGTAATGCCTCCTCGCAAACCACCGATTATTACACCAGATCAAGATAATCATGGACGCAGTAAGAAAGCTGCCGAAGCCAGAGCTCGCTGGAAGAAGATCGGTACGGAGGCCGCCATTAGTAGCTTCTGGAGCCGGATATCGCACAACAAAACCAGCAGCGTGTGCTAGTTCACGACGAGGATTCGGAAAAGTTTCTGAAAATATGCGCATCAGTCGACAGGCGAAGGTATAGACAATACACAAATAAAGCTTGCGCCGCAACAAGACAACTCAGCTCTCTCGGAAAACTGTGGCTGAACTTCCGACACGTCGAATAATATCGGATATGATCAGCACGGCGTCTCACATTTACTAAATAACAAATAGAAATAGAGCCATTGCGACTCCCGGCATTTTACCTTACGATATTCCGAACTCAATGGTTTTAATAAACTCCCTACAGTAAGTTTTCGACTCGAAAATCCCATTTTCGAAACGATCGATGATTAGTGAACAAAAGCCCTACGAGAAATACGCAAGGATAATAAGACAGCATGTACAACAACACGTAAAAAAAACTCCCACGCTTCCGTCCCGGAAACGAATACCTAAGAAAAAGACGACGACTAACACACCTTGTATCGGCACAATATTTGTAACACACATCGAAACTAAGAACGAACCTATCGATCCGTCAGTTCTGCCATATTCTTCACGAAGAGAGCGGTTCGTAATGGTATTGTAGCCACGGATGTTTCAAAGCCTCCGATGCAGATGGTCGTTTCCTCGGGTTGACTTGAAGAAGATGTGCGACGAATTCGATGAATCCCTCGTCTCCCATTGACAATCGGTGCGTCAACGACGACTTCTTCGGGATTAAATATTCCAGCTTGTTAGTTTCCTGAGGCATATCGAAGATGTAATGCTTAAAATGAAAATATCGTTTTCTCACTCACTATATAGACAAAAATCGAGAGATAAGACTACCGGATTCCTCTCGTAAAGCATGTGGTTTTTGGTGAAGTATTTGTGCACGTCTCGTCCTTTAGCAAGCATTTCCGCGTCGACTGGACTTATAATTCCGATTACTCGAGCGAGTAAAGTGGCCGGCGAGTCATTTTGGAAAAGAACCTACATAGATAGAACAGGTTATTAGTGCTTCGAAAAACATTTACGAGAGAAAATAACTGCTCAGAAAGCTCCCTTCCCATATCGAAGAACTTACATTTCCCGTGCAAAGTTCAGCCAAGATGCATCCGAGTGACCATATATCGATCTTTTTATCATACGGAAACCCCAAAATAACCTCCGGTGCGCGGTAAGACCTCGATTGGACATAAGAACATAGATTATCGGTTTCAAAACAGCTACTTCCGAGATCGATGACTTTTACCTCACACCTACTGTAACTTTTCACCAGTATATTCTCGGGCTTCAAATCGCAATGTATGAGGCCAAGGCTGTGTAGAAACTGCAGTGCTTCAAGGCATTGGATAGTAATCGACTGTTGGAACGGAAAAAATCGTTAGTGATGTGTTTTGTAATAAGATATCGTCGAACAAACGACTTTTGCGCGACAAACCTGGAGTCTCGGCATTGTAAAGTACACTTCTCCACCCGATTCCCGGTTATACTTCTGGAACTCGTACAAGTTTGCTTTAAGCAATTCGCATACGATCAACAAATGCTCCTGTCGATAAAAATACAGGCCTATGTTATAGATCAATCTTAGACACTGACCGTTATGTATGTATTGCAAATATGATCACTTACGCGGTAGTAGAAATAATCGTAAAGTCGAAGAAGATGATACTTGTCAGCAGGGTCGTGTTTGTTCACATACTTGAGCAGCTTTATTTCGTCGAGGCTCTGGTCGAAAAAATCTTTGTTGTTCTTTATAACCTTGACGCAGACGTCCATGCCGGTGTGCAGATCATGCGCCTGAATGGCTTTGCTAAACGCGGCCGATCCGAGATACTCGGTGACGTGATAACGACCCGCAATGACCGAGTTCAAATTACAATGGAAATTCTTGTCCTCCTCGAAGCCAGTCCTGAGCAATAAACGACACGATCGTTGCATTAATAAGCACAGCGATAATGAAAATCGATAATCGGAATAATAAGCAACGCGTCGAGAAAAGTAAATGCCTGTTTTTCCGGTGCACGATTTTCAAATTGAACGTTTCGAAGTCTTCCTCTTGTGCTTTGATTTGCTTCACTTGCTCTTGTACAGCTGCAGTTTCCTCGTCTTCTAACAACGCCTCGCTATATTCATTTCTTACGGCGTCCTCCGATTCCCGGTGTTCTTTCTTTATGTATTCCCTCTCGGCGCAGCTGGAATTCGAAATCGACGACGCGCTAGAATTACCCGATTCTCCACCGTTTGCATAGCTTTCATCCCTCGAACTCTTAGGCAGTAAAAATTCGTTCTTTTTGTCCCTTTTCGACGTAACCACGTCATTATCAGCCTCATCGACGACAACATTGTTAACTTTGTTTGACAACGAAGATTTTCCCGAGCATGTTTCGGCCCATTGCCCGTCTCTCGGAGGAGGAAACGAGAATCCTTCGATCGTACATCCCGCGGACTGAGCGGACACACCTTTATCGTTATTCACCATGTATATATCCGAACTGTGCCTTTTTATTTTATTGTTGTCGTGCAGCGAGCGTCGTGAACCGCCAATTCTTGCGTCGTGATCTCGAAAGTAGTCGATATCTCCTGCCAAACTTTCCCTCGCTTCACTACCGACGTCGGCAGCATCGCTGTTGATTCCAACACCAATCGACCTAACAGAACCGTGCTGATCATCGTCCGCACCGACGTCTTCCATACGAGTCATTCCGTATTCGCCGATGACTTTCCCATTCCCGAGCAGAAGCTCATCCGTCTGAGCAAGAAATCCCTGCCATGCGGGCTCGGAGCAGATCAAATTCAGCTCCTCTTCATCCATCAATCGACCGTCGTTTCGATGGTAAATTTCAGTTTCGTATAAGTCCCCGTTGTTACCGGAAGATAGAACTGGATCAACACTTGTCAACTGGAAATACCGCTCGCCCGACAAGTAAGAGCCCCCCTCGATAATAGACTCCTTATTTTCGTTGTTTTTGTTTCGGTCCTTTTCCGGAAGATCGGGAAATCCGCGGCTCCCCGTCGCACCTTTTTCATTGTCACTCGGATAATCAATTTCGTGCGATAGAAACAGGGCCTCATCTTCGATAGGTTGCCTCGTGTAGCCAACATCGTCGTCATCTTCGTACTCGTCGGAGTCCCAGTATTCATTAGGGAAGCCGAATGAATCGCCTATAATAGCAAAACAAGAAACATCATTACGACTTATAACAATTACCCGTACAAAGAAAAAAAAGACCATAAAACAACGACAAACACAATTCAGAACTTATAATTTCAATCAAGTCGTATCTTGCCACAGTATATGAAACATCAACGACGCATTAATCGAGCTGAAATTATCAGGACAAACCTGAAATGTTGACATCTTCCCCGAAAGGCATATCAAGAAACGGCCTAATCCCGTAAGGATGGTCGGAATTGCGATCATACTTCTCTTCCCAGTGAATTCTTACAGCCTTATCTTCAGTCTTGAGTCTTACAGGAGCTAGCCTTGGTAACTCGTCCTTTCGATAATCCGGCACCCGATGAAATTCTAACACGCTTCCCGATTCTCCCATTTGATCCTTCACTTCATGAATAATCTCAGCCACTTCCTTTTTCCGTCGTCCTTCTTTTTTATCAACAAAAGAAGCATGGTCACAACCACTTGATGTACCAACTCCCGACAAAGGGAACACAGTTTCCACAGAACAATCTTTCCAATTCTCCGAAGTTGAAGGACCGAATACATTATTTGCAGCAACCGGCCATGCTAATTTGTCCTCGCCAAACAAGATGCCATTTTCAAGAGATTTCACATTATCCTTAACTTGACCATTTCCATTACCATATTTCGAAGAATACAAATCAAGAACAGTATCTTCTGAGCTTTGCAACAATGTAAAGTCATTATCACTCGTCCCAACGCTGGCATCGACCATCCTCTGCTCCCCAATCACGCCGCGGGTTTTCCAATTGATCGTAGATCCATTTCCCCCCGAACCACACTCCACTTCTCTCACAATTAGCTCCCTCGAAGCTTCCGGACCATTCAAATCCTTTACAACTTCCACACTGCAACAAGACTCTTTCGTACTCATATCCTCTTCCGATTCTTTCGCTCTTTTTACTTCCTCCCCCGATCCGCTCCTTAGCTCCTTTTCATTACCCTTAAGCTTCCCGAGAGTTCCATTTGAGCTAGGTCGGGTACCTAACTCAGTTCTTAGAGCAGCCTCAGCTTTGGTAAACTTGTTTCTCCTCAAAAACTCAATTACATCATCCACAGGATTCGAGCCAGCCATTTACATACAATCATCTACAGCAAAAATCCATATAACCCTACAAAATGCCATTCAAGTGTGCCTGGAATTAACGAGCAAGAAGAGCTGACAAAAGTATGAACTATTTTCACAAAATGATGTCTGGATTTGAAATTCCTAATCTCTATTTTCATAATATTGGTTGCTACAAAAAATGTGAAACGTTGTTCAGCTAAACCTCCTTTCCGGTTGTAACCCTAATTCCGTTTTTCGAACCAGAGAACACACGAATTTCATACTTCTTAGATAAACAAAAGCTACACCAAAATTACAAGATATTGAAGCAAGTATTACTTGTCGAAATTTCATAAGATCTGCGATTTAGTTCCAACTCCAGAAGGCAAAAATTCAGCTAGAAACAAAGAAAGTGTATATGTCTGCGCCATTAAATCTAACCAACTACGAAAGTGGAAAACGAAATTAATGCAGCGATGAAAGAGCTTACAGATCGAAGGAACGGAATGCTTCAGGATGCCCCCATTAAAGCCAGGAATTTGAATGCTTGAGTTCGAGTTCGAGTTGGGGCTTTTACAGGTGAAAGAAACCATTTATATCGCTTCTCGGCTGAATGTCTGAGATTCATTCGATGTTCAATTTTTTTAGTATATGTTTTAATTTCATTTCACCAGCTTACACAAGTGGGTTGTTTATAATAATAATAATAATAATAATAATAATAATAATAATAAATCAATTAAAATCTGAAATCATATTATCAAATAATAGGAGTACTACTTATATATATTTCATACGAATTGACTATGAATTGACATATTTTTTTTATAATCTCACATCTATTGACATATTTTCATTTCGAGTAAAATTTATTAAAATCAAAAATATTTAATACATACTCATTCAAAATTCACTTCTTTTTATTTTTTTTATTAAAAAAATATTTTTATTCATATTTTATAAAATTAATTTATATTAATTAAAAATAAATAAATATATTTTTTTATTTATTTGTATTATAAAAAAATTTATTCTTTATAAAATTGAAATTTATATTGCATACATCTTATAATGTGATATAATTTTTAAAATATTTTAAATAAAAATTCTAATTTTTTTAAAATTATATATATTAAAATATATTTTAAAATTATCAATATTATTATCACTATTGTTAATTAATTAAACATTAATAGCTTAAATATTGTTTCACTAATAAAATTAAATGAGTTTATAATCTTGAAACCCATGGAGCATATTTTTAAAGACGTGGGTTAATCCCGATAATATTTTGGCTGATAGGATTATAGTATATAGAGTATAATATTTATATTTTACTTTTTTTACAAAAATTAAAATTCAGCCTAATATAATATCTCCATATGAGAACAAATGACCATTTATTCCAAATAAAATAGTGTAAATTCATAAGTTATTAATAATATATTACATTTTATTATTTCTATAGGACAATGTTGTTAGTACTTAAAATATAAGAACACAATAAAAATAAATTTAAAATATGTGTTTAAATATTTTTAACATTATATATTAATAAAGTATATTGCTTATATTATTTAGTAGGTAATAAAATTTTATATAATACAAATAAATAAAAATATATATTTATTTATTTATAATTATCTTAAGATAATTTTTAATATAAATAAAAATATTTATTTATTAAAAATATATAAATAAAAAAGTTTTTAGTGGTATTAAATGTATATATAATAAATTTAATTTAATTAATTTATATTTATTAAATATATTTAAGAAGAACAAATTTATTATAAATATAAAATAGACTGAAAAGGAAAAAAGTTCTTTTGTCTTATTAATTTTTTCTATTTCAATATATATTTTTATTATTTTTATATGTCTTACTTAATAATATTTATTTTTTATATACAAATACTATTTTTTATTATAATACAAATAATTAATATACAAATACTATTTTTTAACTTTTATAAAAATATTTCTTTCTCGTGAAGTTACAATTACAAAAATATCAAAAAAAATTATATACTTTTACTAATAAATAAAATATAAATTCAATAACTTTTGTCTTCAAAGCCTTTTATTTTTATTAGCCGTCCAAAAGTGAATCTTTGAAAAATAATACATATATTTTGATACTTTCTTTGTACTTAGATTTATATATATATATATATATATATATTTGTCTATTACTTAAAAAAAAAAATTACATTTCTGTATTTAGTAAAAAAATTACACTTCCTTTTTTGTATTTTTTATTATAAAAAACAAAAAGTACACATTACATTAAAAAATAATTATTATAATTTTAATTATATTTTTAAAATTTTATAACTAATAATTTTTAATCTTAATGAAGTTACTTAATTATTTGAATTTTAATATATAATTATTCATATTATTAAATAACTAATTTTATTAATATATTTATTGATTATATTTTATCTAAATGATTGTATTTACATAAAACTGAATATATAAAATAGGATAATATTATATACTCCTCCGTCCAACATAATTTGTCTCTATTTCTTACTTTTGTCCGTCCAACATAATTTTTTCTTTTTCTTTTCGAAATATAATTATATACTTTAATCACATTTTAAATTTTAAATTTTAATTAAACTATTTAGTTATCTTAATCTTAATTTATAATTATTTTTCCTATATAATAATTATTTTTACTAATACACTTCTTAATTACTTACTCATTATACTTTACTAAATTTCTAGCATCTACTGTAATACACCCATATTATATGAAATGAATAAAGTAGTTTACTCCCCCGTCCCATTGAAATGTTACCATTTTTTATTTTTCTACGTTCCAAAATAAGGTTATCATTTCCTAATTTAGTAACTGTACTACCTACCTAACATAATAAATACGCTTTCAATTTATAATATATTATACAAATATCATTACTTTTATATTACACCGTACTAATATGGGTATTTCTGTCTTTTTTACTACAATACAATATAATACTAATATTAAAAAATTTAGGTGTAAAAAGCAAACGCTATCTTTCCAAGGGGAGGGAGGGAGGAAGTATAATAAAATGTCATTATATATATAATACAAATATTAAAAATATACTATATTTTAAAATTATAAATACGGAACCCACCCCACCCCACCCCACCCCAAACATATAAACCCCTTAAATGAATTAATTTTATGAATTTGGGATTTGGGAATACGACATCAAATTTAAATTATTTGATGAAACCAAACATATCCTTTTCCTATAAGTTTGGAGGGTACAATGAATATAGAAATATCAATTTTAGGTAAATGAATAAATTATGGTCTTTTTTGTTTTTGATTTGAAATTATTTGTAAATAAGTAACTACTTTCCTGAATCCCTTAATTATTAATTACTTTTAATTATATAAATTATAGAAATTAAGATACCTCGTCTGTCCTATAACAAAGTATTTATTTTTTCATTTTAGTCCGTCCCATAATCTATTTTTTTTTTTTTAAGTAACTGTACAATGTACCTAACATTACAAATACCCTTACAACTTACAATATATTACACAAATATGATTACTTTTATATCACATACTAATAAGGCTATTTTAGTAATTTTTACTTTATTTCTAGTATATCTCAATATTATACTAATATTTCTAAAATTACGTGCAAAAAGCAAATAGATATTTACTTTCGGGACGGAGGGAGTATTATATCCTAACCATTCAGTAGAATTCCGTAGCAAGTCTTTGAGTACTTAATCCACTTTATCTATATATTTTGTTTCATGTCTATTCTCATTAATTTGGTCTCAAAATTAAGTTATATATGTACATGGGTATTTTCAATTTTATTTTCATATTATTATTTTTGAAAAAAATTGCATGCAACACTTTTTGTTTTGGAATTTTTATATTAAAGTAATTGAATAAGATATGCAATAGAATTATATATAATTAATATTTTCCAATAGAAATATATGTTTTTTTTCATTATCAAATCGAACTTTAAAAACATGGAGTATTTAATATTATTATCATTTTATATAAAATTTAGTTCTACATAATACTAATAAATAATAAAATATATTTAATTTATACATGTAACATAAAATAATTTATAAAAATATAGAAATTTCAAAGATATATAAATTTATGTATTTAGGAGAGATATAAATAAAATTTAATAAGTGATTCACACTTAAAAAAAAAAATTATTTGTTTATTATTATTATTCACTTTAAAAATTTAAGTGTTCTTGTTTGATATATGTCAATGTCATATAATATACTGTAGTATAATGCATGAATGACTTTTTTTTTTTTTTTCTTTTCTTTTTTCTTTTTTAATGTGAAAATTCGCATATCCGAAAGTGCACATTGAATAAACTCCCGGTCAAATCTAATATCATACAAATTAAATCTGACAAGACAAATCACACTAGGACTAAGACTTATTAGAGTATACAATGACCAAATGGAATAAATATCTCTATTTACATGTGTACTCTCTAGCATATCAAAGTAATTTTCCAAGGGCATTTCAGTTAACACACAGTGATTTACATATTGCTTCAAAATTATAACTTTATTTACACAATATATTTTCATTCATTGATACTATTTATTTTTTAAAACACATTACATCAAATACATTTTTTACAAAACATCAAATGAAATACTCATTTTTTACTTTTTCCACAATTTATTCCCAAATTCATCCGTCGTCGTCCTCCTTATGCCGAAACCCTAGATTGGCATCGGAGAACCTCGGCACTGGAGAAGCTTCCCTCGAATTAATCTCTGATGAGTAGTTGTTTTGTATTTCTCCTTTCATTTTTCTTTTCTTCGTATCCCCAAATCCTCAGCTCGTTTCTCTCTTCCGGAGGAAACCCTACCTCGACGTTAGAGAAACTTGGCTCGGAGAAGCTCAGCGTCGAAGTTCACCTTCGCCCACATAATATGAAGCAACAAATTTTAGATTTATGTCTATGGATGGGGAGGGGGAGGGGGAGAGAAAGGAGAATTTGCGAGAATAAATACATCCATCAAAATTGCCTCGGCTGCACAAGGCGCAAGCGATGTCAATTTGAAAAATTTCCATCGATGTTAAAGTTGTTATAAATTATTATTTTCGAGGGAAATAGGCGACATCATCGAAAGGGTGATGGAATGCATCTAAAAAAGAGTCACTGTGTCTGTTCTTAGGCTTTCAAATAAATAAATAAAATTCAATTTATTATAACTCAAAAAAATAAAAAATTCAAAGGTGTGCTTAGGGTTTTTTTTTTTTTTTCTTTGAATAGTAATTTGAAATAAATATTTTATAAGGGCGTGCAAATAAATTTTTAATTATACAAAATGAACATGTTAAGGCATAGGACTCCAATTCAAATCAATTATTCCCTTGAACTAAAAAGTATACATATTTCTATTTTACAAAGTAAATATTTTATTAAATATTTTATTTTTTTTCTACAAATATTCTAACCTTATATCACATTATCTTTTACACAAAAAAAAACAAGGATAAAAATATCACTATACTACTTTTAACTACTCACTATAATTAAAATAATATTATTTTTAAATACGGCGTCAAAAGTAAATGTTTACTTTCTATATGGACATTTCTATATGGACGGAGAGAATATTA